ACAATCTAATTTTGAAACCATGAACTCTCTCAAGCTAGTAGTTCACTAGGCAACCAAGAGATGTCAAGCATTGCTCTATCTCCCTTGAAAATTTAAAGTTCGCAGCAGCACCTCTGAGAGTTGGTGGCAATACCCTGGGGTGCCGTGGTGAAGTTTGGGAAACATGGCCACATGGTAAGGTATTATATAATTTTGTGGCTCGGACTCAGACCTGGGTTGGAAATCAGATTCTACCAATAACTATATAATCTTGGGCATTAAGCAGCTGAATCAATCTCTTAAACCCAGCTTCTATGCCTGCCAAAAAGGAATGAATAGCAGCAACCTCAGATAATAGTTGTAGCCCTAGCCGGTTTGGCTCAGTGGACAGAGCGTCGGCCTGTGGACCAAAGGGTCCCAGGTTCGATTCTGGTCAATGCACATACCTTGGTTGCAGGTTCCTCCCCGGCCCAGGCCCTGGTAGGGGCTTATGCAGGAGGCAACCAATAGATGTGTTTCTCTTACATCGATGTTTCTCTCTGTCTTTCCCTCTCCCTCTAAAAGTCAATGGAAAAATATCCTCGGGTGAGAATTAACAACAACAACAAAAAAAGTTGCTATTATATATCATTAAAACTGAACAAGTGGTTTATAAAACCAAATTTAATAATTAACTCTGTGGGGATGAAGGTAACATTCTAAGCTGAAGCCACAATGTCAAATTAAAATGCACAAATTTTTAGAGGAAAAATCATAAAGTGCTTAAATAAGGGCAATACAGAGAACTATAGTATCCTCCAAAGGATGTCATAAATGTTGATACACCTATCACAATGCCTAGGTAAAAAGTACTAAACTGGCAACTCAGAAGAAGATATATGTATGTTAAAAAGTGCTTTTTAGCCCTTGCCGGTTTGGCTCAGTGGACAGAGCGTCCACCCGGGGACTGAAGGGTCTCAGGTTCGATTCGGATGAGGCTGCATACCTGTTGCAGGCTCCGGAGCGAGTGCAAGAGGCAACCAATCAATGTGTCTCTCTCTCTCTGTCTCGCCGCCCTTTCCCCTTCCATTCTCTCTAAAAGATCAATGGAAAAATATCCTCGAATGAGGATTACAAAAAAAAAGTGCCTTTCAAGGGATAACCACACTAGGAAACTAGGACCCTTTAAACAGCATTAAGAACTGTGTTTTAAAAATACTTAAATTTATAAAGAGCAAAACTCATCTGACTATAACAGATTTTTTCATCAAGAGCATAATAGCTCAATATATCTGCTCAAACCACTTTCTCACATGCTAAAAATTTATCATTTTAATTCCAAATACACCTGTGTGTCTTCTATCTCACAAACATCTGTAATAAAATTTATAATACAAGAATATCTGTAGGTGCATGGTTTATGAAAGGAGTTTTGAATGAAGAATTCTTTTTCTGTTTTTCATTTTTAATTTATTGAATGATTTTAGAGGAGGGAGAGAGAAAAAAACATCAATTTGTTGTTCCACCCATTTGTTTGTTGATTCTTTTTTTAAAATATGTTTTTATTGATTTCAGAGAAAGGGAAAGGGATAGAAATATCAATGATGAATCATCCATCAGCTGCCTTCTGCACGCCCCCTACTGGGGATAGAGCCTGCAACCTGAGCATGTGTCCTTGGCAGAAATCGAACCTGGGTCTCTTCAGTTCGCAGGCAGATATGCTCTATTCACTGAGCCAACCCAGCTAGGGCCATTGGTTGATTCTTATATGTGCCCTGACAGGGGATCGAACCCACAACGTTGGTGTAGCAGGAAGACATTCTAACTAACTGAACTACCCAGCCGAAAGGATTTTTGAAACATTTCATTTGATCCTGAAATTATTCCAATTTACTGAAGAAACTGAGGTTCACAGAAATTAAGTAATTTGTACTACAACCCACATATTACACAGTTCAACACTAAAACCCATATCTTTTAATTCTTTCTAATACACAACTCCTTCCAGAAAGACTCAATTCAAATCTTGTTGGTTGGACCAGCATTGTTTCATCAACTATTTCAAGTAGGTTAACCATCACCAAAGGCCTGAAAATGACAATCTTTACTGTGCACAGTAATGGCATTTCACCTGCAGAGACTTTTCATTTGCCAAGTATCCTGAATTGTGTAATATTAATAATTATTGTTAGGTCACCTTATGACAAGACATATTATAGTTGGAAATACAGTGGCTGAGCCCACTGGTATAATATTTCAGCCCATATTATTTCCCATTTTTTACTTAGCTGGTGTCTCATGGTTCAATTCTAAATAGAAAGATAACATGAAATATTAAACTGATTCTGATTATTTTTATCTTCTGCTATTAATATAAGCCAAATGCAGTTACCAAGATACTTAAAAGGAATGGAGGGGCAAGCATGCTTGTATACTCCCCAAAATACAATAACATCACAGAGGTCTATCCCTGCCTTTAAATTTGGTCAAAGTATATTCCAAAAACAATTTATCAGCAATCCCTTTCCCCAAATTCCCACATTTTCCCTCTGATTACTATCATTTCCTAAGGTATCCTAAAAGCAAATTACCAAGGCATTCTAACTCAAAATGACCAATTCCTTAGAAATTAAATGTAAATACAACCTAATAATTAAATTACTATATTGGAGGACTTAAGTTTTAAAGAAATTCTATAGGAAGCCTTTATATAAAGTCTTAATGTAACTAGTCACCCTCCTATTTTATATTATATAAAAAATTAGCCTTTTATGTGCCAGAGAGTGGAGATGATTTCGGCAAGAAAGAAGAAATACAAGCCTGCACCATAACTACTGTATTTATTTGGGTCCCTGGAAACATAACATCATTTTCTCTCTAGGTAATATTTTAAAGAACTTCACACTTGGGCCCTTCCTAAGAATGTAAATATATAGTTAACAGAAACTTCATTTCTATGGAGAATTGAAGATGGAAAAGAAACAGCTGTCTTGTACAATACCCAGTCCACTTTGGCCATTGAATACGGACCAAAAAAAAAAAAAAAAGATTTGGAAAACGTTTCTTCTCCAGCCAAGGGCTGTGCCCAGATAAAGGCAATGATCAGAGTACAACAACAACAAAAAAACCTTCTCTGAAGGAAGAAATGTGCCAGGAAAAAAAAAAAGGCATGGATCGGAAATAAATAGGGAGTGAGTGTGTGCGCTCAGTGTGCGGGCTAGAGGCAGCGGGCGCAAACGCTGAGATGCTCCAGCGAAAAGACCCAGCAGCAGCAGCAGCAGCAGCAGGAAGTTTCAATGGGGCCGGGCGGAGCATGCGCCCTGCGCCCGCGCGGTGGCCTTCTGTGGAAGGAGCACCACTTGCAAACACCAATAATAGACCAGCGGCACCGGAGAGAAACATGAGCAACAAGCACCTCTTCAACTGTTTCCCCTGCGTCGGAGCCCCTCCTCCAGCCTACATATTAACCACCCCACCCGGCAGATGGGAGGGCGACTTCTCCTTCCCCTAAGCCTGGCTGCCAAGATGAAGGGGGAAGGGACTGAAAAAGTGGGGAGATGCTTTTCTATGGGGGGGTGGGGAGGGAGGGAGGGTGGTGTTGGGATGGAGAAGACGGAGAGAGAAAAACTATGAGGAGGAGAAATTAACCCTCTACCCTCCAAAGTGGAGGTGAGCCGACTTAGTCCCCCAAAGCGAGAATGGAGGAGGACCCCCCTCCCACGGGGGAGGAGCAAATCTGCCTCCTGGCAGGAAGGAGTTTGGGGGGTTAAATGGGCCCTCGGGGAGAAGCCAAGAGGGACGAGAGCCGACTCTCTCCGGGGAGTTCCCACTAGAGGGAGAGCTGAAGTGTCCGCCGGCCCCCGCCCACCCAGGTGGAGGGAAAGAAAGGGGGCGCCCCGAGAGGAGCCCAGCCTCTCCCGAGATGGTCAAGAGGAGGGTGGGAGGAGGGGAAGCAGAGCAAGGGAGAAGAGGAGGAGGAGGAGGAGGAGAAAAGCGCAAGGCTGGCCGGAACCTGCGCTCCCCTTCCCCCGCCACCGAGAGGGAGACGGGGGGGGGGGGCCGGCCTCTGCCGCGGGGTAGCAGCCCCGGGGGTAGCCGCTCCGCACGATGACCCCTCCCCGCCCCAAGCCCACACCTAGCCCGCGACTCCCCCGCCGCCCGCTCGGCGCCCGGCCGAGTGGCTCCAGGGGGCCTCCGCCCCGCCTCCTCACTGCCCGAGACCCCCGGGGGCCGGGCAGAGAAGACCGGCCGGGCGGAGCTGCACCCCAGGGGGCAGATAGAGCCGCAGAGGCCCAGGGGTGGTGCGAAGAGCAGAAAGAAGAAGCGTGCCAGGGCCGCTTCCCGCCGGGCGTTCGGGCCCCTCGCTTACCTTCCCCGTTGCCGACGTCCCGCGGCGGCGCCTGCAGCACCCGCTCCAGCTCGGGGAACGGCAACTCGGGCAGATCGAGCAGCGGCCCGTAGCGCTCCAGGAAGGAGCACACCACGGCGAAGTTGGGGCACGAACCCGGGCAGCCCGGAGGAGCCAACGCCGCCGCCGCTGCCGCCGCCGCCGCCATTTTGAACTGGAGGATGGAGGAGGAGGGGATGGGGGGGTGGGTGGCGCTGGGGTGCCGAGGAATAGCAGGGTGGCTTCACAGACGACAGGAGGCGCTAGCTAGTGGACGCCCCGGCACAGCCGAGCGGCCCCGGCACGGCGCCGCGATCCCACAATACAGCAGCGGCCGGGAGCAGTCGAGAACCGCGTCCGACCGGGGAAAGAGAGACGCTCAGCGCCTTTCACTTTCCTCCCTCTTCCCGCCCCCGTCCCTCCATGTCCTTCGCTCCTCCCACTTAGAGCTCCACACAGCCTCGTGTGACAGGGGGAATGAAAACAAGGGAAGCCGGGCCGGTAGGCGGGCTGGAAGCTGAGGAGGCGGGACTTTCTGGGAACGGTAACCAATAGGCTTGAGGGGGCGGGGCTTCGGGCGGTGACGGGCGAAAGGTTCCTTCGGGGCGGGGTGGGGCGGGGCGGGGCGGGGCGGGGCGTGTGGAGGGAACACCTAGATCCGAGGGCCCGAACTCAGTGAGGCGGGAGGAACTGCACGGAGCGGTTGGGGATCGCAGCTCCGTGAAGAGCGGGCTTTGGGTGAGTGTGGCGGGGACTCCGAGAACTGGAAGAGGGCCACGAGATGGTGAGGCGAGTTCAGGAGAGTGAATCAGAGAAAAAAAAAGAGAATAGGGGAGGAAGAAGCACGATTGTGGGAGAACATGGGAAAGGGGTACGGTAGAGGGGTGCCCTTAACTAGGGGTTGGGGCGGGACCTGTGTAAGGAGAAGTCTGCGGGAGTTTGCTGAGGGGTGTTGCTCTCCGCTGCGGTACAAGATTCGCGGCTTCGCTTTCGGAAAAACAGTGTCTGAGGGCCCGAAGGGAGGAGGGCCTACGGAACAGGGCTCGGCGGAGATCACCAGTCTGAAAAGTTGGGGTCCTGCCGGGAGATCGGGGTCTGAAAGGACCTACCTCTGCAGGAGGACCAAGGGGTGAGAGGACTGGGCTGTGCTGTGCTCGCCTGGGTGTGAGGGAGAGGGGCTCTGTGGAGACTCTAGGCTAGGGTCTAACAGTGGTTCTCAACCTTCTGGCCCTTTAAATACAGTTCCTCATGTTGTGACCCAACCATAAAATTATTTTCGTTGCTACTTCATAACTGTAATGTTGCTACTGTTATGAATCGTAATGTAAATATCTGATATGCAGGATGGTCTTGGGCGACCCCTGTGAAAGGGTCGTTCGACCGCCAAAGGGGTCGCGACCCACAGGTTGAGAACCGCTGGAGGGGACTGGTGCGTGGGGTGGGAGCAAAGGGTGGGCTAGGACTCGGTCGCTGGGCGGGCGGGCATGATAGGAGATTTGGTGGAAGAGCAAAAAGTTTGTAGAGGACAGGGTTCCACCTCGTTGGGAGCAGCAGTGAACATTCTCCCACAAAGAATCTCAGAAAACCGTTAGTAATGCAAAATGGAATGTACAGCCTGAGATGCCCTGTGCATTGTGGTTTAGGAGCCTGAGCTTTAGATTCGGCCAGACTTGAATCCTAACAGAACCACTTGATGCCATTGGGGAAGATTAATTTCTCTGAAGCTCTGTAAAGTGGGGGTGATAACAGTGCCTACACCATAGGTTCTAGATAATTCACAGTAAATTGATTGGCACGATGCGCTGGCACATTGTAAGTACTTTTTTAAAAAAAGGAGTTCCTAAAATTTAGATTGAATCCAGCTATAATTTATACAGTTTACTACTTTGAGCCAAATTTTTCAATGTGCATTTAAAACTTAGTACCTACTTCCTAAAAAGAATTTGAAGCAAGATACAATATAACCATGTAAAATAGGACAATTAATGATTAAGGATAATAAAGAAATTTATAGGCAGATAATTATGTTGGGAACAGAAAAATGCTTACCACAATTAAACGTTGCATTTTGTTCTGCATTTCTAGGTTTAAAAAAAGGGAAAACCATAATGGTCGACATCATTCTCATTATCTAAAGAAAGAAAAAAATTACTCATTTATCAAAAGAGAAAAATTATAAGAGGAATTTATTATCTAGAATTCTTATTTCTAATATTCAAACCCTTTCTAAAGGGAAAAAATGTTCTTTTGAAACATATCAAATACTTTTGAAAATTCCAGTTTAAGAAATACTGATGTACATGGCTTCCTTTAGTTCTTTGAATATATTTATAATAGCTTCTTTGAAGTCTTTGCTAAATCAAACATTTGGGAACACTCCAGTACAGTTTCTTTTTTTAAAAAGATATGTTTTTATTTCAGAAAGAGGAAGGGAGGGAGAGAGAGAGAGAGAGAGAGAGAGAAACATCAATGATGAGAGAGAATCATCAATGGGCTGCCTCCTGCACAGTGGATCGAGACCAAAACCCCAGCATGTGCCCTGACTGGGAATCGAACCAGCAACCTTTTGGTGCACGGGATGACGCCCAACCAATTGAGCCATACCGGGCGGAGCCACTGCATTTAAATATATATATATATATATACATATATATATATATATGTTATTGTTGACAGTATAACAGATGTCCTCTATCTCCCCTTTCCCCCCATGCTCACAGCCTTTTGTCCACTCTGGATATGTGGAGAGCTTATTCCCTATGGCTGTGTCACCTCTGGGAAATTCCAATTAAATCCTTCCCTACTCTTCCAATCCATTGTTTGCCCCAAATATCAAGGAACCAGAGCCACCTGTCATCCATATTCACCTCCACTAAGATCACTATTTTAAATCATAGTGCTTAAAATCAAGTGAGCCTCCTCTGACTATAGCAGCAAATCTGTTGTTTTTCATGCTCTGCTCCAACCACATTGAACCTCTGTGCCAACAGAATCAATGTGGGGGCATGGCAGTGGTCCCAGGCAAGAACAACGAAATACCTTACTGTTCTTTATCTGAAATTCAGTGGTTGTCATGAATAAACACTTCTCAGTTTATATATATGCATTTACTAGTAATATAAATTACTAGAGTACCAGGTGGTTATTTTTTATAGTTTTGTCCAGCTTTATATTTGCTTTTGGGGAAAGGATTGTCGGTCTCCTCACTCCATCATGCTGAAGTAAATCTCCACCTTTTCATTTTATCTCCAAAAAAAATACCCTGAGCATTCCTCCCCAGTCCGAGAAGTAATTATACTATCTAGTTTCCAAGGCTAGATGTTTCAGGATCCCGAGAATAACAATGTACTTATTAGACCTCTAAAGAATATGTGACAACCACATAAATGAGAAAAATGCTTCCTAACTCATAGTGGATTAGGGCTAGCTATATTTTGTATATATAATAAGGAAATTACTTGTCTTAAAAAATCCAAATACTGGCATTATTCAGAAAAATTTAAGTTTCTAGTTATTATAAAGTTAGACTGCTGAAACTTGTTCACTGAAACATTTTGACTTGCATTATTAATGCTTTATGTCCCAACATTTATATTTTTAAAAATTCACACACAAATGAAAATGGAAAAACTGCCCATACCTTATTTCTGCCCCCTATTTTTCCATTTGCAATCATATACTTAGGTATCTTTTAACCCCATGGGGCGGGGGCGCGGGGGAATAGCTAACATTCAGAACAACCAATAACAGAAAGACGAGAAAAAAAAAATTTTTTAACAAATGAAATGTTGCCTGGCTGGTGTGGCTCAGCGATTGAGCATTGACCCAGAAACCAAGAGGTCACTGGTTCAATTACTGGTCCTGCCCGATTGTGGGCTTGATCCCCAGTAAGGGGTGTGCAGGAGGCAGCTGATTGATGATATTTCTCACTTATTTAAGTTTCTATCTCTCTATCCCTCTCCCTTCCTCTCTAAAAAAAAATCAATAAAAGCATATTTTTTTAATGGGGATAAAATGTTCCCCATCATCGTGGATTCTTAAGCACATTCTCCATGTATGCAGTGTGCTAGCTGGATGTCTTTTGGCATAATTGTTACACGTTTGGACTGGATCGCACATAGGTTGGTGTCTTCAAAGAGGCCAACCACATAGGCCTCACTTGCCTCCTGCAAAGCACCAATAGCTGCATTCTGGAAGCGCTGATCTGTTTTGAAGTCCTGAGCAATTTCTCGCAGCAGATGCTGGAAGGGAAGTTTGAGAATCAGAAGTTCAGTGGACTTCTGATAATTTCATGGAGTGCCACGGTACCAGGCCTATAACGGTGAGGTTTCTTCACCCCTCCAGTAGAGGGCGCACTCTTTGTGAGCAACTTTGGTAGCCAAGTGCTTGACCACTCATCAATTTGTGAGCAGTCTGCTTTGTAGGAGCCATGGTGTAGAGCAGCGATTTTCAACCTTTTTCATCTCGTGGCACACATAAACTAATTACTAGAGGTCTGCGGCACACCAAAAATATTATAATTTTTGGCGATGTGACAATATAGGTATAATGGTTTAGTCACATTGGACGACTATTGTTGTGTTGATTATTGTCATTTTTTTATTTGACAATCTAAGGGAAAAGAAGTCAGTGCCCCTAACTAAATAGTCAGGTATTGCATGTTTAAAAACTTCTTGCGACATACCAGTGTGCTACGGCACACCAGTTGAAAATCGCTGGTATAGAGACCTCCTTACTTACCTTCCTTTTCCTTCTGCTAGAGCTCTATGAGCTAGAGGCGGCGCTAGCATTAGAGAGTGATAGTATTACTAGTATATTTAAATATATATTTTTATATAGTATACCTCCTGTATTTTGGAACAATTTCAACCTTCCTTTATAACTGATTTGGTACTTTTTTTTAAAATTTCAGATTTCAGTAAAGTTCCTTATGTCTTCCCCTGAAATTGCTTCCCTCTCATGGGGGCAAATGAAAGTACAAGGCTCTACTAAAATCTATAAGGACTGCAAAGTGTGGCCAGGGGGAAGTCGGGATTGGGATTGGAGAGAAACAGGAACTGAGGTAAGCTATTAGTGTTTGGTTGACACTGCATAAGGCTAACAAAGTGATTTCCACCATCCTAAGCTACAGTGACCAAGTGAAGAGTAGCTCTCTCTCTTTCTCTATTCTCTCTCTCTCTCTCGCTCTCCTTGAGATATAATCCAAGTATGCAATTCAATGGAGTTTTTATTGTCATAAACTTATGCAGTAGTTAACCCCTACTAATTCTGTCACCCCAAAAGGAACCCCCATAACCATTTTCAGTCACTGCCTATTCTTCCCCTCCCCCAACTCCTGGCAATTACTAACCTACTTTCTGTTGCTGTAGATGTGTCTATATTCATTCCAGATAAGCAGAATTATTCAATTCTCTTAGGATTGGAAATACTGGGTCATATAGTAACTCTATGTTCAACCTTTTGAGGAACTGCCAGCCTGTTTTCTGAAGCAGCTGCACCACTTTACATTTTAGATTTCAGGAATGTATGATGTTTTCAATTTTTCTAAATCTCTCTACACCAACACTTACTATTGTTTGCTTTTTCTTTTTTTATGCCCCTTCTAGTGGGTGTGAAATGTTCTCTCATTGTGGTTTGGATTTGCATTTCCCTTGTATTGCACTCCCTCTGATATTCTCAGTGTGCAATGCCTAAGGTAGAGTCTGTGTTCATGAGTGGAGTTGGATGAAACAAGGGAGCCCTTACCTCCCAGGCATACTCACTTGGGACTCAGCCCCACAACAGACAGCTGGGGGCAGGACGTGAAACAATGGAGTCCTAGTCCTCCCTGGAAAAAACCTTTCCAGCTGGAAGGTTAGAGGAGAAATATTCTTAGCTGCAGCGGTGGAGTGGAGTCCCCACCTCATTGATTTGGGAGTGGGGAGGCAGGCAGCAGTCCTTCTTTAAATACCATGATTTCTCACCTTTCCTATCAAATATTTATAGAAATCCTTTAATAGATGTTTCTTCATTTGCTGTTTGCTCTCAGGATCATTTCCGAAGGCTTTGAAAGATTTTTGTTTCTGTGTGTGTTTTTTTGTTATTGTTGTTTGAATGATTTTTTTCTGAGTTGTTCCGTGGGCAATTTAAACTCAACATATCCAAATGGACTTCATTTCCCTGTTCCTACCTTTCCACCCAGGTATCTAGGTACTCTCTTGTGTTCCCTATCTCCATTAATGGTACTTCTATCCACACAGTCAGTCAATTAAAAGGGAAACCGCAGAGACAATTTTTATTTCTCCATTTTTCTTCCCCACCACAGCTAACAAAGTACATTTGTTGATTCCACCTCAGCAAAGTCTCTCAAATTTACTTCCTCCTGCTGCCTCAGTTTTCTCTCCTGAACTATGGCATTGATCTCCCTAGCTGGTCATCCTGCCTCTTAGTCTGCCTTTTTCATGTCTCTCTACTGTTATAATTTCTAAAAGATGAAGTTGCTGCCAGCACCTGTTTGGCTCAGTGGATAGAGCGTCGGCCTGGGGACTGAGGGGCCCCAGGTTCGATTCCGGTCAAGGGCAGGTACCTTGGTTGCGGGCACATCCCCGGTAGGACATGTGCAGGAGGCAGCTGATCGATGTTTCTCTCTCATCGATGTTTCTAGCTCTCTATCCCTCTCCCTTCCTCTCTGTAAAAAAAAAAAAAATCAATAAAATGTATTTAAAAAAAAAAAGATGAAGTTGCTCATGTCTCTGCTCTGCTTAGAAAACTTCAACGGCTTTTCATAGACTTCAAAATTAAATAGGACAGTGTTCACGGCCATTTTTTTATGATACAGTTCCAAATTAGCCTTTTATTCCATCTCCTATATTTAATAACATGTGTCTGAAGACCTAGCTATCCCACACCAAATACTTATTGCCTTCCAAACCTACCATTATCTTTCATTTTGTATCCTTTGTGCCTTTGCTAAAACCATTTCCCTTACTTGGAATGACACACTCCCTTTTGAAATCTTAAAAACCTTCGATTCCTTGCATCCGTATTATCTCCTCTAAGAAGCACTTTCTCATAAGCCTGGTGAGAATGAGCAGCTTACTCCCTCCTCAGTATTTCTGTAATACTTGCTGCCTCTATTACAGCACTTAGCACAGATTGCCTGATTATAATGAGTGTATTTATGTGTTTTCCTCACTAAGTCCCCAAGTTGTTAGTATTCCTCACTAAGTGGAGAGCTTCCTAAGGGTAAGAACTATGCATTTAGCCCAGAGCCTATAAAATAGGAGCTCAATACATTTTTGCTGCATTGAATTTTTCATTATAAATGTCATTAAACCAATTTTTAAAAAATCTTTTGTGACATTCCTTCTGAGGTAGGTTAATGTTGTATTTTTTTTCTTATTAGTTTAAAAAGGGAAGGGTTAGGTTTTATAGTGATTAAACAATGGAAATATCAAGAAAATGTATTGTCTTCAACCAGTGTCCTTGCAGTGGTAATTACTACTGCCTCCCAATTCTCTACCCATCATTTTTAAGCAGCTACTATATAACTGCTCAAATATAGCTTTTCCAGAGTCACACAATATATTTTGGAATTAAGTTTTGAACCCTAGTCTTACTCTAAAGCCCATACTTTATACCTGTTCCGTACTATCTTCACTCATTTCTATCCTAAAGCAATAACTATCTTACTAGAGAAGATCCTTCTGTGTAGAAACATGCATAGATCGCTCATTTATATATCCTTTTGTTAGGCTGAAAGTGGTCAGGATGGAAGATGTATAATAAGTGTACTCAACAATGAAGATAAATTTTTTTAAGTGTAAAATTAAAAGAAAGCCAAACCAATTAGCACCCACACCAGGAGAACTTTAAAGGAGGTGGGACCTTTGGGAGGTGCTAGTCATGAGGGAGGAACCCTCATGAATGAAATTAGTGCATTAGAAAAGAGACTTCAGAAAGATCCCTTCCACCCTGTGAGAGCAGTGAGAGGGGGGTCAGCTATGAACCAGGAAAAGGGCCCTCACCAAACTCAGCCTGCTGGTACCTTGACCTTGGACTTCCAGGCTCTAGAGTAGCAGTTCTCAACCTGTGGGTCGCGACCCCTTTGGCGGTCGAACGACCCTTTCACAGGGGTCGCCTAAGACCATCCTGCATATCAGATATTTACATTATAATTCATAACAGTAGCAACATTTTATGAAGTAGCTATGAAGTAGCTATGAAGTAGTTATGAAGTAGCAACGAAAATAATTTTATGATTTGGTCACAACATGAGGAGCTGTGTTTAAAGAGCCAGAAGGTTGAGAACCTCTGCTCTAGAGCATGAAAAATAAATGTCTGTTGTTTTATAAGCTACACAATTTGTGGTATTTTGTTGTAGCAGCCCACAGAGAATAAGAACATGTTTTAATCTCTTACCATCTATAATAATAAAAGCATAATATACTAATTAGACTGGATGTCCTTCCAGATGAAGCCAGGGCTGCGAGGGAAGCCCAGGTCCCGGGTGCCAGAGGGAAGCCGGTGCCGGCAGCTGGGGGAAGGAAGGCCTACTCTTGCATGAATTTCGTGCATTGGCCTTTAGTAATTAATATTTTTTGAGGTTTAAGTTGTCCCAAATTTAACCAGTGTTCTTGTGACATGTTTCCATCAGTTTTTTACCACTGCGTTGCTTTCTGGCATAATAGATATCTTTTTCCTGGGTTCAGCCATTTCTTCAGGGAGCCCTGGTTCCTTTTAGTGAGAAATGATATCTAGAAACCCAAGAGCTGGGTATTAGGTGGGCTCATTACTACTGAGATGTCACTACATCTAAGCCCATTCAGTATACAGAGCCAGAAAATGTGTGTGTGTGTGTGTGTGTGTGTGTGTGTGTGTGTGTGTGTAATGAGTTCATAATTATACTTCTAGCTCAACCCAACAGCCCCAGATGTTTTCCTCTGTGTTGTTCCACCATCTCCTTGAGCATTTGAATGGTGGAACAGGTTGAAGCCATGGCCAGAAGTCTAACTTAATGGAAGAAGAAAGAGGAGAAAAGCTCATGCTCAATGTTTCAAGGCTCAAACCTAGACATGGCATCATTTCTTCTGCTCGTATGCCATTGAATTCTTATTGGTGATAGCATAGTCACATGTTCCACACCTAGATGCACGGGAGCACAGAAAATGGAATCTAGCTGGGCAGTAGAAAGGGGGCAGATTGGATTTTGAAAGAACTAGCAGTCTGCCACTATGAGATGTGAGGGTAAGTCTGCTAATGGACTTTTAGAAATGATTTCCACTCTTCTAAACTAATAAAGAAGCACATTACTAGACCACACATCTGTTTTTAATGTTTTATTGATTGATTGATGAGAGAGAGAAAGAGAGAGAGAGAGAGAGAGAGAGAGAGAGAGAGAGAGAGAAACATTGATTTGTTGTTCCACTTATTTATATATTCATTGGTTGATTCTTTTGTATGTGACCTGACTGGGGATCAAATGCGCAACTTTGGTGTATCGTGATAACACTCTAACCACCTGAGCAACCTGGCCAGGCCTGTTTTTAATAATTGGATAATTTTAGTGTGTAAAATCTGTTTTCTTTGTAATCCTATACATTTTCTCTTAAGCTTTTAAAAACTTTGCTGAGAAGGGAGCCATAAGCTCCACCAGATTGATTGCCAGAGTGGCCTATGGCACAAGAACAGATGCCTGTGCAGAGGCAGGAAGATCAGTTTAGAGGCTGTAATTCCCCAAGCGATAAGGAGACTATGACTTGGGCAGTGTCCACAGGGACAGATTCCAGAGATCCTTTAACCTTCACTCACAGAATCCGCTTTCATCAGCAGCACAACCAGATGACAGCTTTGCTTCTAACATTTATGCTCACTTCATTTTGGCAGGAGGAACTGCTTCCTTGAAAGTGTAATTTAGGAATGTTTTCTTTTCAAATTTGATATAGAAGAGGGGGAAATGTCTAAGCCATAAAGGATGCCACCTTATTGTTTAGCTGGCATGATGGGTATTAGCTGGACATTTCCCCACAATTAATAGCTTCCCCCCAAGAAAACACAATAAGCTTTTACAACCTTACAACACCCTCTGATGTAAAGCCTCTTTAAAAAGAGGAACAGAGTCAGAGCCTTAGTGGTTTGCCCCCAGGGACTGGAAGAAGGAGAGGAGGAGCTGGAGGCAGGTTGAGGACGCCTCAGTAGCAGGCCTCTGCGCTAGGCTGTGAGTAATCGCCTGCCAACGCCTGGATCCACAGGCTGCTGCAGTGAGCGTTCATTGCTCTGCATGTGACACCCTGGGCCTGCAGTATAGCACACACAGCAGCCGAATTTGTCACTTGAGTTCCATTGATTGGCAGCTCTGATGGGCTGCTGCTGTCTCCAGTCTCTGAATCTCCGGATGATTATGGTTTTGAACTCTCTTGACCTTTCACCCCCTTCCCACTTGCCATGTTTCCTTATACCAGAATGTGAGCTCTTAGAGTCAGGGCATCATGGTGCTTCTCAAAATATGTGCTGTCCTTTGTTAAATGAAGGAATCATTCAATCATGGAGGTGGATGCATTTACTTAAGGAAGGTGAAGCTTTCCATTCCTAATTTGTAATTCTGTTAAGTATTTGCTTTGGTCATAGCTTCTGGAAAAAATGTTAGGTTCTCCTTATCATCACTGTTTAGTGCAGGGTGGTTCTAGGATTGATCAGAGAGCTGTGGGAAAAAGGCATTTAATCCAATCCTCTTACATGATTTAAGTACCGATTATTGTAATCAATAATATTGTAATCAGAAACAATATCCCCTTTTTTGTTTTGCCTTTTAAAAATTTATGAACCTAAGTAACTTTAAAGAATAAGAATTCAATCTCTCCTAACTGGGAAAGCTGAAGGCAGAGATACTATTCAGAGACACCTGGGCACTAACTCTGCGGCCTCTCTCAAGATGAGGGTGTGCCCTTGCTGCTGATCAGTTTGGTTCACTCTATGAAATGCAGGTGTTCTAACTTAGAACACTCTTTGATATTCCCTGAACATAAGCTCATACAGTCTGAGTGTAAATTCCGTAGGGAGGTGCTGAGGAGGTAAGTCAGAATAGAAAAGAGAGAGGCTGGCTTTGCTATCAGCTCTGGAGCACTTGCTGACTAAGTAAAGAATGTCAGCAGCAGTTGCACACTCGCGGGGAATAAAGAGACGTAGAGGGAGGAAGCCAGCAAAGACAGGCTGCCTCTGCTCCTGCCTTGGAGCCACCTGCCTTCTGTTAAGTTTGCTTCCTTGCCTAAATAAATCAGGAAGTATGTGGCTGTAGGAGCTGTCTTCCTGCTTTATTTTCTATTTTATTTATTTACTTGTTAATTTCCTGTTTCTATTTTATTTATTTACTTGTTAATTTCCTGAATAATTTTAGACTTACAGAAAAGTTACAAGGATAGTACAAAGAATTCTCACTTTTACCCAGGTCCAAATGTTAACAGTTTTTCATATTTTCTTTTATCATCCTCTCCATTGATATATATTATTTTTTGAACTGTTGCAGATATTATACTCCTTTACTCCTAAATGCCTGTATTTCCCCCAGAGAACAAGGACATTCTCTTACATAATCATAATACAATGATCAAAATCAGGAAATTAACATTGATACAATACTTACTATACAGATCTTATTAATATTTTGCCAATTAACCTAATACAGATGTCATATTTACTTGTCATATTAATGGACTAATATAGGATTTTTTTCATTATTTAGAGAATATTAGTTTCTGTGGGATCATATAGTTTTTTCTTTACTTTTTAAAATCCTCACTCAAGAATTTATTATTGATTTTAGAGAGGGAGAGAGAGAAAGAGAGAAACATTGATGTGAGCGAGAAACATTGATTGGTTGCCTCCTGCATATGCCCTGATGCAACTCAGGTACGTGCCCTAAACTGGGAATCGAACCCGTCACCCTTTGGTTCATAGGCTGATGCTCTGTCTTATTCTATCATAAGAATCTAGTATGGGATTCTTATGAAATCCTTCCACAGTCCAAATTTTGGCATCATGTCCAAATGCTTTCTTCTCCCACCTCATCTCTTTCTATTCCCTCCCCTGTCAGTTCCACTCCAGTCATACTCAACTATCTATAATTCACTAGGTTTTTCTTTCCTCTGAGCCTTTGTACATGCTATTACCTTAACTTGGAATGCCTTGTTCCCTGATTTCCTTTAACTTGGCTAATTCCTGGTTGTCTGTTAGGTCTCGGCTTAAATGTCACCTCCTCTGGGATGCCTTCCCTGACCACCTGCCCCAACTCCCCTATTAGTACATGTAGACCCCAGGAAAAGCTCCAAGACTGAAAATTTATCTCCATAAGTGGAGAGCAGACAGGGACTGAAGAAAGAGGCTGGCCACTCCAGTCTGGTAATTAATAGAGTTTATTAAGGGAAACTTACCTACAAGGCATGCAAAATGGATCCATGAGCCGCTTGGCAGGGCCAGAGAATTATATAGGATTTTGGGGAGAGCGGGGGCTGGGGGTTGAGTAGTCACAGGTGTGTGAATGCCACCAGGTATGGGAAATTACATGCTTGACCAGCTCAGGATAACAACCTGTTCCAGGAACCAGCACATAGCAGGAGGCAAGGAAGGGGTGCTGATTTATGTCAGAATGAGTATCAATTACAATCATACAATCTTTAAGGGGGGTTACAGAAAGCAACTCCCATTGTGGCCTTGGTCCAGGTTTCGGGACAGACAGCGGTCATGTCAGTCTCTCTTCTCCACACACCCCAGGTCTGATGTCAGTGCTCGTTCACTATGTTGTACACACCAGGAGCTTACTTCCTTGTAGCACTTGTAAAAAACTACTTTAATTTCTTCTTAGTCTGCTACATTTTGCACTAGACTTAGAGCTCCTTAAGGGCAGCAATTTATCATCTGTTATTCCCAGGGCCCAGAACAAAACATTTCTTCAATGAATGAATGGGTGAATGAATGAATCCCATAAGAATGCCAATTACAAAGAAAGATTAAAAGAGCAGGTAGCTGGCCCTAGCTGGTTTGGTTCAGTGGGTAGAGCGTCAGCCTATGGACTAAGCAGGGGTCCTCAAACTACGGCCCGCGGGCCACATGCGGCCCGCTAAGAAACATTTATCCGGCCCGCCGGGTGTTTTTGCCGCCGCTGTGTGCATAGGAATTTGTTCATAGTTTTTTTTTAAACTATAGTCCGGCCCTCCAACGGTCTGAGGGACAGTGAACTGGCCCCCTGTTTAAAAAGTTTGAGGACCCCTGGACTAAAGGGTTCCGGGTTTGATTTCGGTCAAGGGCACATGCTCAGGTTGTGGGCTTGGTCCCCAGTATCAATTACAAGGATATCAATTGCAGGGGGCGGCCAGTCAATGATTCTCTCTCATCATTGATGTTTCGAACTCTCTCTCCTTCTCCCTTCCTCTCTGAAATCAATAAAAATATTTTTTAAAAAAAGAAAAAAAAAAGAGCAGGTAACTGGTATACTTTTTCTTTTCTCACCCAGCATTCTCCTGGTGTGCAGCCTGCAGATGTGGAGGAAGTTGTCAAGAAGGGTGTGCAGACCCTTGTGATTGGCCGAGGGATGAGTGAGGCCTTAAAGGTAGGTATTTGTGAATATAATGTCCTGAGGACAGCTGCTGATCTCTTGGACCTTTACCTTAGAGATATGTCCTTGTTAGGAGTTCATCTCTATATAGCATGCACCCTCATATTGCTGATGAGCTAGTGGATGTCCCAGGATCAAATAATGGCTGCGTACTACTCATCAGGGGTGGACTCTCCTGTCTCTACCTAACCCTGGACTTGTATTGCTTCCAGTATTTCTCAGAAAGTCCTCAATCTTGGTATTTCTCAAGCTCTACAACTATTAACATTTGGTTCTTTAGATTTTTATAGAACTTTATATTTTATAGTAGATTTTATAATACTTCTCTCTTCTTAGATGCATTCAAATTATGTTTTCCCCCTTTATGAAAAAAATATTTATTTTAATTTTACTTACAGAAAAGATTCAATGCAGAAATGCAGAAGGAAAAGGTGAAAGATTTGCCCTCTCCAGTCTCCACACTTGGGCATGCTGCTCCAATTTTCTAAGCATCTGCAAATATATACACACTTACATAGATGTGATATAGGTATACATGAACATACTTACAACCATTTTTACATAAATAGGGTCACGCTATACATATTGCTCTGTAACATTTTATTCACTTACATTATTACATTATGGACAGCCTTTCACATAAGTATATAGAGATCTACCTTATTCTTTCCTTTAGATAGATGTTCTAAAATCCAGCTTCCTGATGAAGGTGCCCTTTATTTATTTACTAGAGGCCCAGTGCACAAAATTCATGCACAGGTAAGGGCCTATTGGGGTCTTCCAGCTGCGGGCCGAGGCCTTCCTTCCGGCTGCTGGCTGGGGCCTCCCTTCCCCAGGCTACCAGCTGCTGGCTGCTGGCTGCTGGCCGGGGCCTCCCTTTGTTCTGCCCCACCCCCTGGTGGTCAGCACATGTCATAGCGAGTGATCGGTCTCCCAAACTCCCATGGGGACAATTTGCATATTAGGCTTTTATATATGTATATGTATGTGTGTGTGTGTGTGTATATATATATATATATATATGGAGAGAGAGAGAGAGAGAGAATTTTCGGTTTAACCTAGTTTTTTCCTTGTTAAAATAATTCCTATCTATAAAGTTACTGTTATTATAAAATTGTTCATATAGAAAACATTCAGGACAAGCCAGAGTTGAGAATATCTAATAATAGCTTCCATTATTGAGAAACTTTTATATAAATTCATTTACAAATATTTATTTAGCACCTTCTATAGGTTAGAAACTATTCTATCTTGTCACACTGGGGACAACAAGATAAGACAAAACAAGGTTCATGACCCTCACGTGTCATAAAAGAGTATACAATTTCAGATCATAATAAATTCTATGAAGAAAATGTTGGCTTCTGAGGGGCTCCTCTCAATGGGGTGGCCAAGAGGCTTTTCTGAGAGGACATTGTACTTGCAGTATGCATACACTAGGTAACCTCATCCTCGACCAACCCTGTAATGTGTCATTACCCCATTTTACAGGGGAGGAAATTGGGGTTGAGAGGCTGTAAATAGCTGGCTTAAGATCTCTTGGTTGGTACATGGCAACGTTAGAATTTAGGCTCAGGTTGGACTGACTGAAACATTTAACATTTACATGGTTTGGGGTCTGCACCATGCCAGACATTTACATACCTTCGCTAAATTAGTTCTCATACCAACCCTGGGAGCTAGGTATTATCATCCCTATTTCCATACAAAGAAACAAAGACTCAGAGAATTTAATTCACTTACCCAGGGTCACACTGCTAGCAAGGACTTAAATCCAAGGCTAACTCCAAAATCAGTGCTTTTTCCATTTCATGAGATTTTTTTTCATCATCTAAGATTTATGCATACATATCATGATACTGCTGTCAACTTCTTAGAAAGCCTTTTTAACTCCCTGGGGCTCATGGCCAAATTTTTTGGACCAGTGACATTCTGGGTGATTGAGGAGTGACACTTGTCCCTGTCTAATTCTGTAGAGTATACTTGCTTCATGGCAGAAAGGAAACCCTGGGGACCTCCTCCCACCACTTATTCATCTTTTTCCTTCCTTCCAGGTCCCCCCATCAACCCTGGAGTACCTTGAGAAACAAGGCATTGATGTACGAGTACTCCAGACAGAGAAGGCCGTAAAGGAGTACAATGCCTTGGCTGCCCAAGGTGTCAGGGTCGGAGGGGTCTTCCATTCCACCTGCTGATGAAGCCTTAAAACAAATCACTGTCCTGGCCAATATGGCTCAGTTGGTTGGAGCATCTGTGCACCAGAAGGTTGTGGGTTCGATCCCCAGTTGGGGTGAGTGTGGGAGGCAATTGATTTATCAATATCTCTCTCTCACATCGATGTTTCTCTCTCACTCTCCTTTCTCTCTCTCTCTTCCTTCTACTCTAAAATAAAATTTAAAAATAAATAAAATAAATCACTAAGCAATAATGCCTGTGACTACCACTCTTAACCACTCTTCACACCAGCCTCCCCAAGCATTATTTTTAATTTTTTTTTATTGATTTCAGAGAGGGAGGGAGGGAGAGGGAGAGAGAAACATCAGTGATGAGAGAGAATCATTGATTGGCTGCCTCCTGCACGCTCCACACTGGGGATCGAGCACGAAACCTGAGCATGTGTCTTTGACCAGAATCAAACCCAGGACCCTTCAATGCATAGGCCAATGTTCTATCCACTGAACTGGCCAGGGCTATTTTTATTTTTTATTTTTTTACATACATTTTTACTGATTTCAGAGAGGAAGAGGGAGAGAGAGATAGAAACATCAATGATGAGAGAGAATCATTGATCGGCTGCCTCCTGCACACCCCTACTGGGGTTTGAGCCACAACCTGGGCACATGCCCTGACCGGGAATTGAACCATGACCTCCTGGTTCACAGATCAATGCTTAATCACTGAGCCACGCCGGCTGGGCGTCAAGCATTTTTGAACAGCTGCTCATGCCAGGTCCTGAGCTAGGAAGGCTTTGGGATGCATGGGTGACTACAGCAAGGTTCCTGTCCTTAGTGGGGAGGGGGACACTGAAAGTCAGGAGAAGAGATGGACAGTTATCAAAGTTTAAAAAAATGGTGTTAGGCCAGTTTGAGAAAATAAAGGCAAAAATAAAGAAAAAAACTTTTTCTTTGAAGGACAAGAAAAACTTCAGTGCATTAAAATCACATTGCAATTGATGCCTTGGAATGTTTAGCCATCAGGTCAACCAGTATTTATCAAATATCTTTTTTTTTTTCATTCATCAAAGGAAATATTTTATTCAAATTCCTAAAACAAATTTGAGGTGTTATGTTGGGTTTGAATTGAAGAGAAAGGCCCAGTTAAAAAATGGTTTTCATTTGACAGAAGCTGAAATAGGTGTATACATTCTAATCAAAGATCTGTCCCCTGTGGCACTTTTCAAGTGTTTAAAAGTCTACCAGGCCAAACCTTTAGCCGCCTTCGCTGCTTTTGCTTTGCTTTTCCCCTTTCCTTTTTCTCGCTTTGCCTTCAGCCTTTTTCTTTGCCTCTGGTTCATCCATATGGGGTACTGTCCATGCTGGTCTAGAAGAGTCTTTTTGTTTCTCTTAATGTCAGTCTCCATTTTCATGTCATCTTTGTCATCTTTCACCACACACTGGGTTTTCTCTTCAGAATGTTTGGGGACCACCACAGTTGCTATCTCATGAACATCTTTCATTAAAACATCAGTATCTACTTTAAGAATACTTTTAAGTCTGCTAAGCTCCTTTGGGGCATTCTTTTTTCTCTTTTCAGCACGCATCTTCCTTTTCCACTTACTCAGTAAGCTTTTAGCCATATTTTATCTCAGGTTCACCACTCACCTTTATCAAATATCTTATATGCCAGCACTGCTATAGACTCCTGAGAAACATCATTAAAAGTCTTGTCTTCATAAGGCTTATATTCTAGAGGGGAAAATAAATAAATGAATAAATGCATAATGTAAGAAGACTCTGTTGAGAAGAAAATAAAGCAGGATAAGAAGATAAGGCATGATTGGGGCTAGTTCAGATATGTGGTCAAGGGAAGTCTCTTTGAGCCACTGGCAGAATCTTGAATTAATTCAGAGAGCACTTCAGTAACAGTAAAAGGAGCTGTCCTGATGAAACCAGATAACCAAGGGGTTCCTGCCTGTCAGTACTTGAGCCAATTAAGCAGAGACAGGGTTGAATCATATATGAGCATTTATTCCAATAATGCCAGCAGTATGGGAGAGAGGAGCAGGTCACTCACAAAAACCTACTCTGCACCCCTCTGCCCCCCCCCCCCCCATAAGCCAGCTGCTTATATTGGGTAGAACAAAGATTACATGGGGAAGTAGGCAAAAGGAATAAGAATGATTATAATGGTTACAGGTTACAGGCAATGCGGGAGGGACTCCATTGTTTGGGCAACAAAAGTTGCTAATCTTTCCATGATAAAATGGGAATGGGCCGGATTCCAAATCCAAGGTTGACTCCCAGGTCCCTGGGGCGTACAACTCCCAACCAGGTTAGAATGTGCTTTCTTGAGAATCAGACCAAAACAATCATAGTTAACAGAGCATGATTAATATTCCTTACTAGAGGCCCAGTGCACGGTGGGGTCCATTGGCCTGGCCTGCGGGGATCAGGCCGAAACCAGCTCTCTGACATCCCCCGAGGGGTCCCGAATTGCGAGAGGGTGCAATCCTGGGTTCAGCAACCTCAGTACTTGCATCCTGGCTAGGAAGGAATTCAGAGCAAGACCCAAACTGTAAGAGAACATTTATTTGGCAAATTAGAGAGGCAGAAGAAGTAATTCCTAGAATAAATGGGTTTAGGAAGCAAGTTATGGAGCTTGAGAGTGAGTGAGGAAGCTAATGGCAATGTGCCGGGGGCAGGGAGGGGAAAGGGAAAGGCAACCGGGTCCTCCTCCCTCCTCAGGACTTTAAAGGCGGAGATTTTAGGGGAGGTGCCAGGAAGACATCTTAATAGAATATTCAGGATTGTGGTCTCCACTGATGATAGGCCAGCACCAGGGCAGAGGTCATCATTCCATGCAGCTGATCCTGACATGAGCTGTGGCTGGTTTTGTTGCTTATCTGGGCCTGGAGCTGAAATACAACTGAGGCCTAGATGTTATCTCTAGGGAAGAAAGGTCCGGGGGTCCAAACCTCAGGACCAGCGATATGCTAGGGGAGGAAAAGTTACCCTGGGGGTGAGGCTTTCCATCCTGGTGACCTGCACCTGGCTCATCGTCCTTGCTCTGCTCACATCTGTCTAACTGCCCACCACTGTTCTAACTAAACCTAAGGCTCTTCAGACCGTTCTCCTTGGGTCTCCTTCTCCCTCAGTTTGAAATGATGGGGCTGGACTAGGTGACCTTTATAAAGCTTTAGGATGGACTGATAGGACTAGAATGTTATGAGCATCACCTCATTTTTCATTTTGCCCCCCAGCCCCCCAAAGGGTTACAAGTGAGGGCTTTGGTGTCAAATAGATTTGACATTGAACTCTGGCTTTCTGCCATTCAGTGGTTGGGCACTTATTCAATCCTTAGAATCAGACTGTTCTCATCTGTTAGACAGGGGTAATATTAGTACCTGGAGTTAATGTCTTAAATGGATAATTCTTAGAAAGTCTTAGCACACTGCCTGGCATGCGGTAAGGACTCAATAAATTGAAGCCATTATTGTCATTATCTTTCTATTAATGGGGCTACTGTGTAAAGCCAGTTCATTTCATTTTATGGAGCCCAAAGGAACTATCAACTCTCTCTCATTTATTCAGTAATTCTCTTTCATGCCCATTTACTAAAGTCTCTTACTAATTTTCTTATGATCAGTTATTGCTGGGTCCTGGGGGTACTGGAATTAAGTTGGTTATAGTTCTTACCCTCAGGAGTTATGTGAAAGAGACAAATAAACAGACAACAAAGATACAGTGTGTTAACATTATAATAGTTACAAGGGCCAGAGATGGCATACAGGATGGACTAACTTATCCTACCAGGATGGAAAGAAAATTAGGGAAGACTTCAAGCTGAGTCTTAAAGAAGGAGAAGATATTCTTTTATTTACCAAATAAATATTTGGCAAGTCTTCAACTAGACAATTACCAGACATGGCATTTTTCACAGCCATAACCAGAATCGCCCCACCACACTCCTGGTTAATTAGTTTCTCTCCATCTAAACGAAATATGTGCTTACCTGAAAGTCGACCATTAAAGTTACCCTTTTCGTTTAAGACACTGTGTCTGTAAGTCTATTGTAGTGCACATACCTGGGTGAGAGGAAACACTTAAGACCCACTGCTGTGTCTTCACCTCTTCCTACCACACACCTCAGGAGGCTACAGGAGCGAAGTCCTCACACACCTAACACCCAGCTTGGAGGCCCGGGAGGTCCTGCTCCGTCCCTTTTCTGCCCAAACCAGGCATTTGTCAGAGGACAGGCATTTTCTAGATCTCAGTTCCCTCAGCTCATAAAGCCAGGCACATAGACAGCTAGGATGTTTGATAAAATTCAGACTCATTTCCTACTGATGCAATCACATTTTTCTTTTCTTTTTTTGGTCAAATATAAGGTGAGAGCTCCAGTGCGTGCTGAATTAGGCGTGGGTGTAATCAGTGTCCTAAGTGAGTTGTCTCCACATTAAAGAGAACTTAATACAAATTCTTCTAAAGACACAGAAGATCTGGAAGTGAGGCTATTAAACCTTATATAAACCTGCTAATAGCTCCCACTGCTGAATCTGCTCTTCATGGTCAATGCTGGAAATGTGCAGAACCTGGAGAGAAGCTCTTTACTTAGTCCTTGTCTTCATTATTAAACCCTTTCATTCAATCTGTAGGTTGCACAGCCCTCACTGCTCACATTTAATTTCTTCATGCTTGAGTGGTTTCTAAGAGAAGTCTACCAAGTGCTAGGTGTGTATCTTTCTTCCCCATAATTCTGGTTTGCTGAAGTCAATCATGTCAAAGCCAAATAGAAAATCCTTTCAGAAACTTGAATCTCAGGCCTGGCTTTTGCAGGCATGCCATCGTTAAGTTTGCTCTGGATTCTTATATTCATTCATTCTTTCCTTGCCTGGTATGTGCCAGGAGCTGTGCTGGGGATATAACATAGACATCCTTACTGTCCAGGTACTCACATACTAGTTGGAAGAAACAGACATATAAATACACAGCGATGATGCAGGAGTTGCAAACTGGCACAAATCTATCTGGAGAAGTGTTTTGTTTGTCGCAGAGTAATTTTAACATTTGCTTTAGTAACCAAGATTTTTTGAGTTAGGTTTTTACATGAAAATACAGACTTTGGCTTTTCTGGAAGATCTGATACCACCAGGCCCACACCTAAGAACAACCGAGTGGTGCTGAATAGGAACTGCCCCTTGGATTCTTCAGTCTCTATTCTCTACCCCTACACCTCTAGACTCATTTTCCCACACTTCCCGCCTAGGGGGTTTGTTATGAACATAAAATAAATATGACTGAAGAATGTACAGGTGGGAACAAAGAAGCAATCCACCAGGCCCACAGGAAACACAGAGGTTCTAGAATGAAGCTCAGCCCTGAAAAATGAGAGGAAAGGAACCACAGGAGAAAATCTGAAGAGCACATTCCAGGGCTCAGCAGGTGAAAGGTCTGAGGTGAGAGAAAGCATGGTGGGTGCTGGAAAAAACTGCCAGTAATTACATCTGGAGAAGTACAGAGAAATGTCTGGACCAGAACCTAAAACCCTAACGAACCCCCCACCCCAACCACCCCAACCACCCCAACAACAACCCCAACCCCAACCCTAACCCTGGGAGGCTGTGGCTGGAGAAGATAGAAGGGCCTGAAGATCCTTCAAGGATAGTTTAGACTTTATGCTGGGACCAGAAGTGATCCACTTAAAGGGTTTTAAGCAGAGGAATGGTGTGATGAGGTCTGGGTTTTAGAAAAATTACTTTGACAGCTGTGTGAAGAATGGGCTGAAGGGGGTAAGATTTGTGACAAGATCATTAAAGCCAATGCTACCTTTTAGGAGAGATGCTGATGGCCTGCATCAGGATAGAAATAGTAAGTATAATGAGAAGGAGATTGAATCGATCTACATTTCCAGAATAGAATCTAAGGGACTTGACAACTGTTTTTCTAGGAGGGGTGAGGAAGGAGTCCAAAGTGACACACAGGTTTCTGGCTTTGACTGCCGGTGCAGTGCAGACTGCTGGCAAAGACAGAATAGACTCCTGTGATGAAAACCAGAGTGGACCCAAATCAGGAGGCCTGGGTTTCGGCCTCGGCTTCAGCACTAACTCAGTCTCTCTGGGTTTGCACTTCATTGTAAAATGAAGGCACCACACCAGTGATCTTTATGCTCCCGTCCTGTCTTTGTAGTGTGCCATTATTTCACTTCAGTGAGAAAGTGTGGAACCAGATGCAGAAATATCAAGATTCTCATTTCATAGAACCTGAGAATTCAGGGTAAAAGGAATTTAAAAGGTTGAGCCCAACCTTTCATATATTTGAATTCCTTTGGAACAAACTTGTCAGGAGCTGGTTCAACCTCTGCTTGAACACATCAGCATGGAGAATTCCTTATCTCCTAGTGAAGCCCATTCAATATTTAAGTTTTAAAACATCCTGATACTAAGCCAAAATCTGCCCCTCAGAATAGCTCCATCTTTGGTGAAAAAAATACTATATTTTGGTTTTTTAAGACCTAAAATCAAGTCCTGGCTTTGCCGCTTAGGAGAAAGACATTACCTCAAAGCCTCAGTTTCCCCACCTGTAAAAGGATTTTTATGTAACCTAGAAGGATTTTTATAAGAGGAGTACTATATCTGAAAAGAATCCAACATATTCTTTCCTTCAAAGGCTTTCTATAGCTATGGCATAAGGGGCTCAGTCAGCAGCCATGGGTCTTAATGTTGCTGTCCATGCTCCAATCCATGATCCTCATTAGATGCTTGTGTCAGGGCCATGGTATTATTCAGCCTGGCGTCACGCTTCATTTTATCTCCAAGGCATGCACTCTTTTCAGGGCATCGATTGTTGTCACACAAGAGCCTGCTGATGGCACGTCCTTGAGATGTACAAAACAGGCGAGCACACTAGGAAGTCAGCTCCTTGGAGATGATCTTTCTCCCTCCAGACCGTCTATAATGATTATGACCTCCTGGAGCCAGACAGCCTGGGTTCAGAGTCCAGCTCTGTCCTTTACTAGCTGTGTAACCTCTGCAGTTATTTACTTCTCTGAACTTCAATTGCTTTAATCAAATGAAGAGAATAGTACCTGCTTCATAGGGTGGTTGTGAGGGTTAAATGAGTTAACTCATGTACAGGCTTAAAACCTGCCGGGCACACATTAAAGTGCATTAAACCAGCCCTGGCCGATGTGGCTCAGTTGACTGCAGCCTGTCCTGTGCACCGAAAGGTCATGGATTCCATTCCTGGTCAGGCCATATACCTAGATTGTGGGTTCGTTCCCCAGTTGGGGTGCATACAGGAGGCAACTGATCGACGTTTTTCTCTCACATTGATGTTTCTCTCGTTCTCCCACCCTCTCTCTAAAATCAATTTAAAATTTTTCAAAGAAATACATAAATAAAATAGTACATTAAACCAAAAGTCAATCATGCCTGAATTCAAATGCTAACTCTACTTCTGATCTTGCCATTATTTTAATTAGATTTCCAAGTACCAAATACGATCAAGACTGGTCACATATTCAGATTCTATCAAGCATTATTAATTAATCCCATTTAGTAATCCTTAAGGCATCATTAACTGTATTTCACAGATGAGGAAACAGGAATCGAGGGCTGAGGATTTGAAGGCTCTTGTACTTCCCCTGTGGTGGTGCAGCTCACGTCTTTGGAATCAAGTGGGATCTGAATGAATAAAGCTTTACTAGTTACTGTACAGTTTTCCTACCAGTGACTTAACCTCTTAAGTCTCACCTGGCTGTTGTGAGGATTATATGACAGGTAAAGAACATGGTACAGGCCCTTACCCATTAATTTCTCTGGAGGACTTACTGTTCTTACACCCAACTGCACCTTTAACTCACATGCAATTCCAACACTGGAGTCATCAGAAATGTACTGGGAAGTGGCTTTATTTCTTATGCTGGATCCTGCTTTCCCATGATCCCCTTTCTCTTCTAAAATACAGTCCTTTTATTTTATTTTGGGTCTAAGGATAATGGCAGACAAGATCAAGAATCCCCTTCAAGGATGGAAATGATTCATTGTTCAGCTGTTCACTCAGTCCTTGGCCCAGCTATTGCCTGAGTTATGGAAGGAGCCTCTCAGGCAGATAATGATGTCGAAGGCCATTCAGGAACTGTCTATGGTGAAAAAGTACAGCTGTGGAAGCTGCTCTGGAGTTGGCCCCTCAGACTATTGCTTTAAGAAAAAAGATTATGACTCATAACTGGTTCTTTGGAGGTGGCTAGAAAATTGGATCTTTGTTTCACACCCGAGGAATAGAAGCATATGGAGAAAATGTTGAACCTAAACCACACAAATTTCTTTAAGGTCCAGTTGGGTGGTTTCTCAACTTTATTATAGGGAGGGATGGGGGTGAGTAGGAAGGTTTTTGTTTTCTTAATGCAAAATAATTTATCTGTGTCTGATACCAGGTGAGACTCTAAGGGTCACTTGTTTCTCCTTATGCCAATACGCCATTTCCAGGTGAAGTCCTCTGGCTCTGGCTCTCTGATCCCGAAGAAGGGCCTTCAAGGCTATAAAGACTGCTCGTGACTCAGCGCCTTGTGGGCTTGGGCATTATGTAAACTTTTACAGACTTGCTGAAGGGGATGGTGCCCTCAATGCTGGTTTCCGCCTGGGCCGGTATCTCGCCCCCCTCCATCCAGGGGGATTTTGGAATGCGCGAGTTGGAGTTGTAGGCCAGCAGCAGCCTCACTTCCACCTGGCATGGTTCTGGAATAAAAGACAAGAAATCTTCTATGACTGGGCATGGCTAGACTAGGGTGAAATGTCATATAAAAGCAACATCAAAGATGGAAGCAGTAGGGTTTCAAGAACACTTCTTCATCTGTCCACATCCCTCCCTTCCCTCCACCAAACACACACTTTCCCAGCCTACATCCTGTGAGGCTGACCCTCAGCCTGCTTCTTTGCCACCACCTTCTGCTCGGGCCTCTGTAGGCTCCCACCACAGCTGCTGAGGATCAGAGCAAGCTACAAAGCTTCCGTAGAGGGCTTCCAGCCTCCAGACAGAGGCCCACAAGGGCGCATGTGGCCGATTCTCATGCCCAGATAACCAAGCTCTTCCTGCACAGCTGACCTCAGGCCGCAGGGCTGCGTGCACCGCACACTCCACTGTATCAGTGGAGAGGAGGCCTTTGTTAGGAAATGGTTCTGACAAAAACCATTCTCCCCATGAATAGGAACATGTTTTAGGGACCTAGAATCATTTCATTAAACCTTCTGTCCTTTATGATGTGACACTCCGATACTGAACTGGTGCATGCAGGTGGAAGGCCCCAGGGAAAGACCTCCCTCAAGTTGCTGACCATTTGGCTGAGGAGACAGAGACAGCTGCACAGAGCACAGTACATGCTCTAATAGAGTCTGTAAGAAGCACTGGGCAGGGAGCCCAGGACTGCTCTGTGCTAAGCACATAACCTCAAGAATTCTCACCCTGCCACACCATGAAATAAACTGTCATAATCCCAAAAAAGTTCCAAGGCTCTGAGAGGTTCTAAGTGACTGCCCATACCCACACCTGGGCAGTGACAGAATTTGGGCCCAGCTCAAACACTGAAGCAATTAATGTTTCTATTACCATGTGGCTTCAATAAAGAAGGGGGAGAGGATTTCACAAAAACGTAAGGGCAAGTTCAAAGGCTAGGAACAGCATGGGCTTGGGATGTCTTTCTTAATTTTGTATCTGGAGCAAAAAGTACAAGTGTTAGAGATGAGCCGAGGCTCAGAAGTTCATTTGGCAGGAATGAGGGCTGGATGGATCTAAATGAACAGGGCAGAGGTCCCAGGACTTCTCAATGTCCCCCAAAACTCTTCCTAACTTCTCCCTGGAAATGAAAGCAGAGACTGAACTGCCATCCTCCAGGAAAGGCTTACAGGCAGCCAGAGCAACCTCGCCAAGCCCAGAGAGCAGCACCTGAGCATCACCACTGACCAGCGTTCATGTGGTGAGACACGCCCACATAATTATACCGGCCTTGAGTGTATCTAATGAAACCAACATTACTCTCTGGTACCAGACCCAGTATCAGCTCCCCACTATGTTTTCCTCTTTTGTCCCAGATGGCTGTTGCCAACCACTGACCAGGACCCAGTGTTGGCTCACAGCACTTTCAAGAGCCAAACCCTGGTAAGGTCAGAGGACAAACTCCACCTGGTCATTATGCCTTCGCTTAAGGCTGGGGTAAGAATGACAATTCAAGTCACTGCCATCAGAAGAAGAGGGAAAGGAGAGAAAAGAAGAGGGAGGAGACTGAGAGAAAGAGACAAAAGATCATCTGTGACAAATCATGCCACCTACTTGTCATATTCTGGAAGAATATCTCTCTTATGAGGTATCATTCTTACTCCCATCTTAGAGATAAGTAAGATAGAGAGGTAAAATAACTTGCTCAGGGTCACACAGCAAGGGAGAGGATTTGGAACCTGGTCTATGTGACTCAAAGCTTCTGACCTGGGAGCACCCTGCCTCCCAGAGGTCAGGCCACTCGTAGGGAGCTGTGAGGGACTGGACGGAGGAGCTCCCTACCAACACCAGAGCCCATCTCCTGGATTAGAGGAAGGAGGCAGAGGTACATCCAGAATGTTTCACCTTAGTGTCCCAGGTCAGGAGCATGGAATAGTAGAAAAAAATAAGGGATTTGGGAGTTAGGAAATCTGAGTGGGAGCTCAGTACCACCATGGACCAGCTAAGTGGGCCTCCATTTATACACCCATAAAATGAAGAATAGAATACTAATTACCCCCAGAAAGTTGGTCTAAGGATTCAATGAATTTTAAGTGCACATTTAAAATCCTATATTCAATTTTCATTATTTGTTGAGCACCTATTATGTTAGGTATTAGGGACATAGGATATAGAAGTATTGAGGATACAGATGTAAAAACAATTAAGTTCTCTGCTCTAGAGGAACCTACATTCTAATTGGAGAGAAAGGCAGTAAAAAAATGAGAAAACATCTAACATTAGTAAGTGCCACGCAGAGAATTATAAAAGATTTATAATAGTGATTGGGTAGCAAACTCTCAGAGAAAGTAAGTGATCCTAGATGAGTTATAATTCTTCGGGCTCAAGGTAGCCTGGATTGTAGTCCTGGTTCAGACAATGACTTGCTATATGACCAGGGGCAGGTAAGTAGGCCCCCCAGGACCTTTCAAGCTCCTTTGAGCTCTAGCATGTTGTGACATGGACTTTCTATGACAAGGCTGTCCCACAGCCTTTTCCCCACATCTAGAATCTGTTCATCAGAAGGGATTAGAATAAGCAATTCTACCTTCCTGTGGGGCTAGAGGTTTGGCAATTAGTACAGAAACATTCCAGGCAGCAAGGTTATGGAATGAGGGATGCTTAGGGAGGCAGGTCCTGGGTGAAAGCATTGCTGGATGCTCCCTCAGGACTAGTGCCAGGCCCAGGGTCACCAGTCCCCCAAGGGGGCTGCCCTGACATTCAACAGCATTTCTTCTTTGTTGAAAACTTTATAAAGTCACCTATAACTAACACTTATAACCTAATACCCCTGATAGAGGGAAACCATTAATAATGGCATTCAATCGTTACTGATGTATTTTAAAATACTGTGAAAGAAAATCCCAGAAAGCATCTAATTTCTAAAATAAACCAAACTTGGTGGCATTAAACACTTTCTCCAGTAACAGCCATGCTTCTGAACCATCTTGAATGATTTAGGAAATACCAGTGAAGCCAATTCTGCCCCCCATTTTAGGTTCTGTTGACTGAGTCTCCTTTTCAAGTTTCCAAAGCAATGCTTGAAATGTAATGTCTTTGCACTTGTGTTCTCCCATTTTATTCTTACGAATTAAAAAACAAACAAACTATGCAAACTCCCTGTCTTTTCACAAGTTATCGAGGCTCTCTTCAGCTGCTGTAAGGAAGGGGAAAGCATGCCTACATCACATCATCTTATTTTGTGTTACCCCACAAACCAGCCGATGTAGGAGGGGAGGACAGGAACTGCTGTCATTTTACTTGTTTTGGGGGAATGAACTGAATTGTTCAGATATAAAAAGAGAATGAATTTAAATGTCTGGTAAGAAATACAAAACTGTTTAATTTCCAGACAAAGCAATCTCAGAACTAACTAGTAGACTGGGAATTACCATCTTCATTGGAAAGGTGAGGAAATATTCAGAAGGGAGAGTGGCTCATCCAAGGTTATGCAGTAAGTCAGTGGCAGAGTTAGGACAGGAATATAAGTCTCCTGGCATCCAGCCCAGGGCTCTTTCCATGAGACGCCATTCTACTGTAACCTGTATATCATCTAACAAAATCCTGTGCCTCTTGCAATCAAAGCAATGCAGCAAGTTAGTCTAGATGTACCCGGTTCGAGATGTTAAGCTCCCTAAGAAATCAAGTACAACTCTCAGCAGGCCTGATTCGACCATGTGAAAACTCAGATGCCTAAGGGTGGGTGTGATCCCCAGGAGCATATTTTCCTGCCCACGCTGGCCCCCCGACTCCTCACCTGTCCAGGCAGTGTGGGAGAGATACACCTGAGTGATGAGCCGGTGCCGCCCGGGGCCAGGATTCCGGAAGTCTGCAGGCTTGGGGTGGATCATCTGAGCCTGGCCATCTGGATATAAGACCTACGAGGTGACAGAAATGAGAAAAAGAGGCAGAAAGAGCCATGAGCTTTTAAGAAAATTGCTGGTGACATCTGCTGTGAACCCCATAACAAGAGGAAAAGAGAGATGACAAGAGCCCTTACAAAAGACTGCTCCTTGAACAGAGGGCCACACGGCTGACATCTTTAGAGCCCCAGCCCCAGCACAAAGCAGTGTTTGGTAATGTGTCCTGAATCCATGGTGAACAAGTAAGAGGAATAAAGTGTCTCTCATAAGGTGTCTTAGATAGAGAAAATATTAATCCTAGTGATAGGAAAAGCCTTCCCAGGAGCCCACCAGGATGACTCTCTCCCTCCTGCCTCTGAGTCATTTTGTGGCCCAGCAGCCATGACCATCAACCAAGTATTAAGAGTAATTTTGTAGCTGTATTCTCTTCACGAGATTACAAGTAGTTTGTCTGTCCCTTTCTACAGAGACAGTGCTCATGAGGGACGGCTCTAATCACTGGCCAGTTTTTCAAATCTCACAAACGGCCAGCGTTTTCCTCAGCATCTCAGGGGGCCCCACAGCTGTCTGTGGAAAGGGCTTATTACACTGCACAGTGTACACAGGAACTAAATGAACAAATGAAGCTTATCCTGGAACCACATAGGACCGACACTATGTAAATATACTGGTAGGCAAAGTAGGGAACTGCATGGGTCTTTCCATTTGAAACTAGGAGGTGTGTCTCAGCTCCTGCCCCATAACCTCATTTCATATCTTCATAGATCTTAGCTCCCCTTTGTACCCTTCTTCTTACAGCTTCTACTTACTACTATATCTCCCGGCCCCAAATCTATTACAGAAAAAAGATGCAGGTATCCCAGCTTCCTGATTCTTTGTAACTTTAAGGACAATACTTGGGCTTAATTTTTTTTTTTGGAATTTTTATAAGATTTTATTTGCACCAAACTGAAAATTGTTGGGAAGGAATATCTCAAATGCTCCCTGGGTTTCATTTTTTAAGGAGGGACAGGGAGGGCTGAAACAGTAATGAGCATGGAAAGAGAATGATAAAGGTAGCAGAATTTCCCAGAGTTCTCAGCAAATCTGCCCGGGGTGAAAGGCCCTGACCATTCTGTGAAATGGCCACCGGAAGCCTTCATTCATTGCTCCCAAGGGCAGCTTATAAATCTGTGGCCCAAGTAGGTCAAGGGAAGAAAATGGCCACTATGAATTATATGCTGAATTTCAGAAAACCTAAAAAATAAAAAAAATCACACCTCCTCTATCATAAGGTGTAATCTAGTAGGCCTGAATTGGGCTCACCTAAGAGTGATTGAATGAAGTTCCTGCACATTCTGCTTTAAAGAGCTGATATACATGATTTTAAATGAGAATATAATTGTGACATAATCTCAGTGGTGTTCACTGCTACATCCCCAGCACCTAAGCTCTGTCCAGAACAGGAGCATTGTTCAGGCCCGATGGCTGGACCGGACAGCACTCTGCAATCAGCAGAGCCGCCTCATGACCAGGCAGTGTTTCCCATCTCCCCGACTGCAGAGTTTGGCCATGCGTGTAATGGAGCTGCTCTGGAAGGGGTTTTCCAGTGCAGATGACCCTTAATGTCTTTCTACAATCTCATTCATGCTGAGTTGGTCAGTGAACATTTTTTCAGGAACAATGTGAAACCGTGTACATTAGAATCACCTATGAGCTCAAAAACAAACAAAATCTGGTACCCATGGGACCTACTCTTAGGATTCTGATTTAACCGGTGTAGACTGAGGCCTGTACATCAGCACTTCTTAATGGTTTCTGAATAATTCTAAAGTGCAGCTAGGGGGCCCTGGTTGTGTAGCTCAGCGTCGCCCCGATACACCAAGGTTGAGGGTTCAACTGCCAGTCAGGGCACACACAAGAATCAACCAACGAATGCATTAATAAGGGGAACAACAAATCGATGTTTCTCTCTCTCAAATCAATAAATAAAATGAAAAATAAAAATAATTTTAAAGTACAGCTAGGGTGAAAACCACTAATGTGTGTGTGTGTTAGGGGACTCAAGGGGGGTATCCATAAAATAAAAAACCAACTGCAACACGACTTCACAGCCAGCTCAGAATTAGTTCTCTGAAGTTCTCATGATTTATAATAATTCCTGCGGGGAAGATAGAAGTTTTTTTCCTCTACTGACACCCGAAGCAAATATCATCTCCTGATTCATCCTTAGCTCTTCCCTGCCTGCTCTAGGCTGTTTTTCTGTCCTCTGATTACACTTGCTGTGCTTGTATCCCTATTTTTCTTCATATCCCTCCCGTCCAGAATTCCTCCTTTTGCCCTTATCCTTTGCTCTTATTCATCCTTTCAGATCTTACATCTCCACAAAGCCTTTTTTCCTCAGCCTCCACCACACTCTACAAATTAAGAGCCTCTCCAGAATATTTTCCAAAAAAATTTTTAAGTATATTGCAAATTTTTATACGTCAAAAATTGAATAACCCTGTAGGGGAGGAAAAGTAATTTTCTCTCTATACTTCTAGGTTCTTGGCTAGAACCATTTGTCTGTCTATCCTTGAAACTGAGCATCCTGAAGGCAGGAATACTGACATGATTACCTTTGCAACACTAGCACTTAGCATGTACAATAGAGTAAACATTATGCATGGAAAGAAGGAAGAATGGATGGATGGATAAATGGGTACTGCTTTTTATGGGGCTTAATTGCAGACTGTCTAAACTGATTAGTACCTCTAATACACCTCTCATGTCTCTAGTATATCTATCTCTAACTTGGAAAAGAATACTCCCTACGACTGCTTTTTCCCCACCTACAAGTTTTGTTCGCCAAGCTGACCCACCCGACAGCTGAAAAGAACTTTGTTGTAGCTTGCTTGAAGCCCTGAAAAGATCAAGTCTTATCCTCACCTAGTAAGAATAGAAAAGGCCCTGTCATTTAGTGAATCCTTAGCGGGCACCAAGGGCTTTGTCTGCATCATCTCATTTCAATGTCAGCTATTCCTGTCTGTTAGCTGTAGAAGCATTTAAGGTAACTTGCACCAGACCACACTCAAAAGTAAGTTGGGATTCAAGCCCAGGCCCTTTTCCAAAAAGACTCCTCTCTTCTTTCTCCCCAGTTTCCATCCTCAGGTAGAGATGAAAGTGGTGCTAAAGTTATTTTTTTTTTTTAATATATTTTTAGCCCTAGCTGGTTTGGCTCAGTCGATATAGCATCTGAAGGGTCCCGAGCTCAATTCAGGTCAAGGGCACATGCCTGGGTTGCGGGTTTGATCCCTAATAGGGGGTGTGCAGGAGGTAGCCGATTGATGATTCTCTCTCATCGTTGATGTTTCTATCGCTCTCTCCCTATTGTGCTCAGAGGGGATGGGAGAGGGAGAGAGAGATAGAAACATCAATGATGAGAGAGAATCATCGATTGGCCGCTTCCTGTAGGGCCCTCAGTGGGGATCAAGCCTAAAACTCAGTCATGTGCCCTGACTGGGAATCAAACCTGTGACCTCCTGGTTCACAAGTCAACACTCAACCACTGAGCCACACAGGCCAGGCAAGGGGGGTGCTAAAGTTAAATGCTTTGTCACAAACTCAGTATAGAAGCTCTATGGGAACCAAACACTGACAGACCTGGACCTTCACAGTGCTCTGAGGATCCTGCACATGTTCCAGAGTTGCATCAACATCCAGAGCCACCACTAACCCAGATGTAAACCGCAAAGGGTTGTCTGACTCGCCTGCTGGCTCAATAATGGTGGCTGAGGCTTTGTGAATCTGTAAACAAGAAGAAAATATGATTCTAAAGTCAGGTCATCGCTGGTAACAAAAAAGATCCTTGCTTTTCTGTCTCCTTATCTAATGGGTGGGCATGTGGGAGCCAATCAGAAGAAAGGCCCTAGCCCCGTGGCTCCAAACATGAAAGCTCATCAAGGTGAGCAGCTCTGACTGTCTGGCCAGACTTCGCCTGAAGGGCTATGACACAGACCCTGACCTGCTCTGGAAGCGGGAGGTGCAGGAAGGTACTCTGCCGCAGCATGGTCTGTAGAATTTTGACCACTTCTGCAGGTTTGGATGTTATGAGTCGGGGCATAAGGTCAAGAAGTTTGTCCACAAAGCTGTCTTGCAAGTGGGGCAAATCAGCGATGAAACACCTGGAGGAACAAACAGAAGCAAATGACTATGCATTCATTTTGCCACAGGCTGAGCCCCAAATATCTGCCAAGCCCCAAAAGTAATGAACTGGAGGAGCTCATGGTTCCCGACTGAGACAGCCAGCTAATTATGCCCTCCTGACATGGTCCTCATAACAGCCTCATTTATGAATAACCCATTATATGCCAGGTATAGTCCTAAGTATTTTACATTATCTTACTTAATTTTCCCAGCAATCCTGTGCACTGTTAGAATTATTTTTTGATGTTATAGATTTATTAATTAATTTAATAAATATGTCTTTAGGATTTATCAAATGCCAAGTACTATTCTAGACACTGGGGACATAACAGTGAGTGAAAAGGAAGAAAAGGACTATCTTAATGAGCTTATAGTCAAGCGATAGGAACACTCAGACTCAGAGGATATTTCACTGAGGCTTAAAAAAGGTAATTAACTTATTCCAAGCTTTGACCTATTCTACAGTACTTATGCCTTTTGGAAGGGTTAGTAAAAAAATTTAAAAAAAAAATCACTGAGGAGTTGACATCAGTATAGGGACTCACAGACTAAATTAAGAAAAATTTACAGCTCTAAACAGATGAGGAACTTTAGCAATTTAGAAGTTGTCACCTTTCCAAAAAGCTCTTCAACCCAACTGTGCAAAAACAGACTACCTTAGACAACCTAAAACCAAGAGGCGTGAACTTAGTTCAGATTTGAAGGTAGAATCTTGGAGAGCTGAGTTTGACTTCATTTGCTAGACAACAGCACCTGGGTGAAGGGTGGTATTGCAACCCAGCCCTATAGGAAGCTATCATCACCCAAATGAAAAAGAATTGGAAAGTTCAATCATATAAACCTCAGGTTTGGTAAAGTTCATGGTGGTAGGGATAAGGGATGGCAGAATGAATCATCAGATTTAATGGAGTGCTTTCAAATCCTATAAATGCCTCCCTCCTGGTATTATATTGCCAGCACACCACAGGTTTGGTCACTAACTGGACGCCCACTCATCTACTGCATCTGTTTTAACTGATTTGTATCATACAGAACTGAGAAAACTATACTCCAAAATAAAAGTTATTTTTATTTTGGAATAAGTTTTTGTAGATTATAGAGAAATATGCAAGTTTAAACACTGATTTAAGAACAGACAAGTTGTGACTTTTCAACAAGAGTTTGTGAGTTTTCCCACATAATACTTGTCTTTGTATGGTCCAGCTGAGTGCTGAATTCAAATGATTCTGGATGTTTTTATTATTCTAATGTTGTATGTTTAGGTTTGAAGCTATGGTTAAAGAGGTTTATATACCACTAAAGAAAATACACTAATGAGGGTACACTGGCACAGATAATAGGTTGACTACATGGGCTAAACCAAGAATTCTGGCTTGTGATCGCTCTTGTCACTCTATAAATGATATTCTCTGCATAACTAAGATTTAATTAACTAGAAGAGAGGGAATATACTTACCTCTGAAAAAAATCCACTTCCTGTAAAAACTTTTCACACATCCCAAATAGGAGGTCAACTCTGGATAAAAGAAAAAAAAGTTATTTGCTTGTGAAATGTATGAACCGAGGAGTGGGGACCAAAGTCCAAGAATCCTGAGCCTACATGAAAGGAGAATGAGCATATTACACTATAAAAATTTACCTCCAAGAGAATACAGGACTGCTAATGGACCTAGGGGGAAATATATGCCAGGATCCCAAGACCCGACTAAAACACTGCAGTGTCCATTAGGCTCAATGACGTTCAAAATCAAAGACTCTCAGAGGCCACCCTTGGCACCAGAATCACTAAGAATATAGCAAAGGAGTACAGCTTGCAGGCAGTGTAGTGTCATGGTCCTCCTCTGTGGGAGTCCTTGCAGCAGTACACTCAGCAGCCCACAGAGCTGTCAGGGAGCTGTGACTCTGAAGCTGCCAGGTTGAGTGCAAAATGAGATCTATATCAGGCAAGTGTGGAGACCATCCTGGCTTAGAAGCATCATGTTCCATAGGTGCTAACAACCCATACACTATGGAACCCACAGGCATTCCTTCCAGGGTCCCCACAAGGGATATGCTCCATTACAAGAATCGCTGTACTAAATGGAGCCCAAAGCTATGGGGTCTGCATCATTAGAGTTCCTTCTAGTCTACATGCAATTTTCTCAGAGATCATTTTTACCATAACAGTGTTACCTAGGAATATAGTTGACACTACCAGGTTTCCAGGGAACAGACCTAGAAAGTTAACCAAAGGTCAAATTCTCATGCAGTTGGGGAAAAGGTTTTGTTACTTTAGTCTTTCTACTAAAATGTAAGTTCCATGATGTTTCCTGACATAAGCAGTTATTCAATAAATATTTGTTGAATGAATGAATGAATGAATGAGAAATGGCAAATGGAAACTTACTCTACAAGCAACATTTATTTAAATTGTTTCCTAAACAGGTAGCACTTGAAACCTTCTTAAGTCTGATGAACTACCAGAGTGGAACTGAAATTGATAGGTTAACCCACCAAAGACCTCCAGGTGTGAGGGCTAGATGGCAGAATTCTAGCTAAGCAGGGGCTTGAAAAGAAAACAATTTGGTCAAGCAGTGCCATTTTCTGGCTTACTTCTAGAGAACCAGTTGGAAGAGCTTCCAAGCAATAAAATACAAAAAGGTTTGGAAACTTTCCCCAAAACAGACAGGTAGCTTCACCTACATGCTACATAAGGTGAGCATCACCCTAGCTGGTTTGGTTCAGTGAATAGACTGTTGGCCGGAGGACTGAAAGGTCCTGGGTTTGATTCAGGTCAAGGGCACATACCTCAGTTGCAGACTCAATCCCCAGCCCTGGTCAGGGTGGGTGCAGGAAGCAACCAATCGATGTGCCTCTTTCTCTGTCCCTATCTCTCCCTTCCACTCTCTCTAAAAAGTCAATGGAAAAATATCCTTAGGTGAGGATTAACAAAAATAAAATAAAGTGGGCATCTACCACTAAGAATATTGAAAAGAAACACATACCAAGACATATCCTGGTGAAAATTCTGAACTCCTACTTTTTCCTTGCTGTGAGAAAGGAAAGCAGTGGAAGAGTGAGGCCCATTCAGGGAAATCGAGCATTGATCTACAACTGTTGGGAAAGCCTACACCAATTATCAACTTAGACTAGTCTAGACTTTCATGTATAAGTATGCAAAGACAATGGAAAATTATTATATGTTATGAGGATGATTAGGAGCTGTAAAGGAGATCAAGCAGACCTCAATGAGATGAAAACACAGAAACCTTTAAAAAAATTGAATAAGTAACCATCGTGAGATTTAAGAGATCTGAAGGTGTACTGCATTAATAAAGCAAGAGAAATTGCTACAAAAAAGGCAGAGAGAATAAAGCACACTTGCAAATAACCAGTACAGCAGTTCTCCTTATCCACATTTTTATTTTCTACAGTTTCAATTACCTGTGGTCAACAGTGGTCTGAAAATATTAAATGGAAAATTCCAAAAATAAATGATTCATAAATGTCAAAATGCACACCACTCTGGGCAGCATGAAGAAACCTCACACCATCTCACCAGGGGCATGAATCATCCCTTTGTCAGGCATACCCACACTGTATATGCTATGCACCCATTTGCCACTTAGTGGCCATCTCAGTTATCAGAGCAACTGCTAAGCATCGTACAGTGCTTGTGTTCAAGTAATTTTTATTTTATTTAAGTGACCCCAAAGCATAAGAGCAGTGATGTTGCAATTCAAATATGTCAAAAAGAAGCTGTAGAGTGTTTCTTTTAAGCGAAAAGGAATGTATGTATAGAAGAAAACATAGTGTATATAAGGTTCAATACTATCTATAGTTTCAGGCATCCACTGGGGGTCCTAGATCTTATCCCCTGCAGATAAAGGAGGACGACTGCAATAATGAAACCAACAATAAAAGAATACTAGAAGGAAAAATGATGAAAACTGAAATGGTAAATTAAAGAAGTATAGTGAGGAATTTACTCAGAATATAAAGTAGAAAAGCAAACAAAAAATATGAAAGAAAGATAAAATAGAGGAAAATAGATCCAGAAGATACAACATCCAGTATGAGGCTGGATTGGATGGAAGAAGCAGTAATTAAAGAAATAATGGAGGGGGGGAAAATCTGAGCTAAAAACAGAGCTGAGACTTCAAAGTCCCAATAAAGGTCAGTAAGAATATTGAAAAGAAACACATACCGAGACATATCCTGGTGAAATTTCTGAATTCTAAAGAGAAAAAGAAAAGTTTACAGCTTAGAGACAGGAAAATTAAGCTGTCTACAAAGGAAAGAGAACCAGACTCACATTAGATATCCTGGCTGTCACATTAAATACTAAAAGGCAACAAGCAATATTTACAGAGTTCTGAAAGAATTCCATCCTATATAATAAAAGGGTAACATGCAAATTGACCCTAAAGGTAGAATGACTGGGAACGACCGGTCACTATGACGTGCACTGACCACCAGGGGGCAGACACTCAATGCAGGAACTGTCCCCTGGTAGTCAGTGTGCTCCCACAGGGGGAGCTCCGCTCAGCCACAAGCCGGGCTGACGGCTGCGAGCACAGCGGCGGTGGCAGGAGCCTCTCCCGCCTCTTCCGCAGTGCTAAGAACGTCTGACTGCAGCTTAGACTCGTTCCCTGTGGGGAGCAGGCCTAAGCCATCAGTCAGACATCCCCTGAGGGCTCCTGGACTGAGAGAGGGCGCAGGCTGGGTTGAGGAACCCCCCGAATTTTCATGCACCAGGCCTCTAATTTATACTAGTATATAAGAGCAAAGAAAGGCAGTTTCAGACATGCAACGTATCACCGAGTATACTACTTACATACTTAATCTGAAAAACACTACTAGAAAATGTGTTCCAGTCAAATAAATAATGAATGAGAACAAGAAATTTAAAACGTCAAATGTGGTACAAAAAGAACAGCGGAGGGCAAACTGGGGCAAATAATTTGGATAATGTATGTATAAAAACTAATGCATATTTTAAAAAAGGGCTCTTAAAATAAGAACTATATTAATTTATCTACATAATAAAAGCCTAAGCGACCGACGGCGGAACGACCAGTCGCTATGATGTGCACTGACCACCAGGGGGCAGACGCTCAATGCAGGAGCTGCCCCCTGGTGGTCAGTGTGCTCCCACAGGGGGAGTGCCACTCAGCCAGAACCCAGGCTCTTGACTTAAAAGCACAGTGGCGGTGGTGGGAGCCTCTCCCACCTCCGCGGCAGTGCTAAGGAGCAGCGAGCCAAGTGAGAAGGAGCAGCAAGCAGGCGGGCGGAAGGAGTGAGGGGTCCTGGACTGTGAGAGGGATGTCCAACTGCCAGCTTAGGCCCACTGCCCCGGGGTAGTGGGCCTAAACCAGCAGGAAAACATCCCCCCAAAGGGTCCCAAACTGCAAGAGGGTGCAGGCTGGGCTGAGGGACCCCCCCCCCCCGCATGAATTTTGTGCACCAGGCCTCTAGTCATATCTAATAAAGAAGGAATATGCTAATTGACCCTCACACCATCACAAAGATGGCGGCGCCCACAGCCAATAAGGAGGAAATATGCTAATTGACTGCCCTGCCCTCAAAGATGGAGACACACACAGCCAATAAGGAGGAAATATGCTAGTTGACTGCCCCACCCTCAAAGATGGCGGCACCCACAGCCACAAGATGGCAGTGCCCAGTCCCCTCAGTCCCCCAGCTGCCCAGGGCCAGCCCGAGGTGCAGGCACACCTTGGATGGTGGCTGCCCAGCTGACCAGGGCCGCCTGAGGCTCAGGTAACCAGGGCCGGCCAAGGCTTGCGCTGCCGGCAGTGGCAGCAGCAGAGGTGTGATGGGGCCGTCGCCTTCCCCGATCGCCGGGTTGCCTCCTGCCCCTGAAGGCTCCCGGACTGTGAGAGGGGGCAGGCTGGGGAAGGGACCCCCCACCCCCATCCAGTGCATGAATTTTCATGCACTGGGCCTCTAGTCCTATATAATAAAAGAGAAACATGCAAATTAACCATCCCTCCACTATGCTCAAGTCACGCCCACCAGCCACACCCACCAGTCAATCAGGAGCAAGTATGCAAATTAGCCCAACTAAGATGGCAGTGGCCACGGAACTGGAGTGAGCAGGAGGCTTGGGTTGCCCCAAGCGATGGAGGAAGCCAAGCTTCCCGCCTGCCCTGGCCAGCCCTGGGCTACACTCAAGGCTACAAAGTTTCGATTATAGAAGATAAATAAATCCCAGGAAAAAAAATGGAGAGGCTGGGAGCTTGGGTCGCTGGGGGACGTGGCCAGCCTAAAAACAGCAATCAGCCCCTCACCCAGGCTGGCCAGGCACCCCAGCGGGACCCCCCGACCCTGAAGGGGCTATGGGCAGCCTGAAAACATCCCTCAGCCCCTCACCCAGGCTGGCCAGACACCCCAGTGGGACCCCCCTCCTACCCTGAAGGGGCTGTGGCTAGCCTGCAAACAGCCATCAGCCCCTCACCCAGGCTGGCCAGGCACCCCAGTGGGACCCCCCTCCTACCCTGAAGGGGCTGTGGCTAGCCTGCAAACAGCCATCAGCCCCTCACCCAGGTTGGCCAGGCACCCCAGCGGGACCCCCACCCTGATCCGGGACACCCTTCAGGGCCAACCAGCCGGCCCCCACCCATGCACCAGGACTCTATCCTATATAATAAAAGGGTAATATGCAAATTGACCCTAACAGCAGAACGACTGAGACTGACTGATCACTATGACACACACTGACCACCAGGGGGCAGACGTTCAATGCAGGAGCTGCCCCCTGGTGGTCAGTGTGCTTCCACAGGGGGAGCTCTGATCAGCCACAAGCCAGGCTGACGGCTGCCAGCACAGCGGTGGTGGCGGGAGAGGCTCCTCAGCAGTGTTAAGGATGTTCAACTGCAGCTTAGGCCTGGTCCTCGCTGGCAAGTGGACATCCCCCGAGGGCTCCTGGGTTGCCAGAGGGATGTCTGACTGCCAGCTTAGGCCCGATCGCCCGGGGAGCGGGCCTAAGCCAGCAGGTGGACATCCCCCGAGGGGTCCCAGCAAGAGGGCACAGGCTGGGCTGAGGGACCCTCCCAAGTGCACAAATTTTTGTGCACCGGGCCTATAGTATATAAAAGGCTAATATGCTAAGTGTCCATCTGACCAGTAGCTATGATTCACACTGACCACTGAGGGACAGATGTTCAACTCAGGAGCTGCCAAGCTGCAGTGACTTGGCAGTGGCAGTTTTTGGGTGACGCACCCCGAAACCAGAGAGGAGGGAACCCTATTCCTCGCAGGGTCACGTGATTCTACCTTTGGCTGTGGGCTATGCTGTTGCTGGGGCACTGTCAGCCTGAATCTGGTTTATTGCACACTTGCATTTTCATTCCACACCCTGTATGACAGCAACTTTGCAGAGTGCCCTCTCGCATCCCAAGACCCCTCAGGGGATGTCAGAGAGCCGATTTTGGCCTGATTCTCGCAGGCCAGGCCGAGGGACCCCACCTGCCGGAGGGATCCCGCTCACTCTGCAGACGCCCTTCGAGCCATGGCACCACCACAGGTGCGGCCGGCCAGGGAGGGACCATGGGAGGATGGCTCCAGGGTGTGTCCGGGCCACCTCTCCCAGTTCCACCCTGCCAGCCACCTTCTAATTAATTTCCTTTCAACATGCACGAATATGTGCACATGGTCACTAGTAAAAACATAATAAGCTGAAACCAAATTCCAAATTAAATAGTATGAGACAATTAAATAAAAGCACATTAAAACTTTCATTCTGATCTAAGGTGATCTTGATAGAGATGATCATAAGTTCTATTTGTTTTATGCCAATAAGTATAAGTTCAATAGATTTATTAAAAATATAATAGTGAAAATAATATTTATACAACTAATATGAGCTTTTATCAAGTGTTTACTCTGAATGTGTAAGGAAATATTTTAAAGGCTTTATATATAAAATTCAATAATCCTTATAATAACCCTCTGAGAGAGAGGCAGATACTATTATTATCCCAGTCTAATTTACTAGAGGAACAAATTGAGGGACAGAAGGTTTATGTAAGATATCCAAGCTCACTACATTTGCAAGTGGTGGAGTCAATATCTGAACCCATTCAATAAGGTACCACAGCCCTCTTAACTACTATGTCCTGCCTTTCACTTGAATAGGTTATAGTTAGGGCACAGAATTTTTAAATCCCTGGAAGAAGAAAATAATTGATCCACCAAAAATTAAGAAAGAAAAATAGAAGCTAGAATGCATATAAATAAAAAATGTAAAATAATACAGCATGAGTAAAGACCAAATATATTAGAATCTTTATATAATGACACGGAAAGATGAAATATATCGTTGGATGAAAAGAAAAGGAGGCAGAACAGCAAAGTATCTTATAATTTGACTTATGTTAATACACATGCATTTATAGTCTACACATGTATCTGGCTAGAAAAAAGTCTGTTTACAGTTGTTCAAGAATAGGTGAATTAACACACAACTTTCACTTTATCTGCAATATTTCAATTTTTACAATAATCATATATCAACTGAAAAAATACATCTACTTTCTCTAAATAAGAAGTGTAGATGGCATCATAAGCACCTATCTTTTCTCAGATGTGACTGAGGAGTAAAGATTAAACATTTGTTAAATGACTATACGGATATCTCTAAGATTAAATTACTACCTGGCACCATCAAGATAAGTGAAGAAAGAAATTAATATTTGGGATGTTCTTTCTGACCTAGTATTTTTCAGTGCTTACTTAAACACCCATGTTTATTTCTCTGTACCACATGTAGGCTGAAACAAATGCTGTACTGAGCATCAGATGTGTTTTCGATCTGGCAACAAGTTACATAAATACCGTACTGTATCAAATCTATGATGCAGGCCAGGCCGAGGGACCCCACCTGCCGGAGGGGGTGCATTTTTATTTTATGAAAAAACAAGAAACAAAAAACCTACTTTCAAACTATGGCACAGCATCAAAATATTTGGTTTCAGAGAAGTTAAAACTTGTGCATTTTTTAATTGATGAAATATGGCAATTTTTCATTATCAGAAAGTCTAATAGCTACCATTAAATTGAGTTCTTACTACGTACCAAGTACCATACTAAGTGCTTTTCCATGTATTGTCCAATTCATTCATTTTTAAAAAATATATTTTTATTGATTTCAGAGATGAAGTGAGAGAGAGAGAGAGAGACAGAAACATCAATGATGAAAGAGAATCATTGGCTGCCTCTTGCACACCCCACACTGGGGATCGAACCAGCAACTCGGGCATGTGCCCTGACCTGGAATTAAACTGTGACCTCCTGGTTCATAGGTCAACACTCAACCACTGAGCTATGCTGGCTGGGCTCTAATTCATTCTTCATAGAAACCCCATGAGATAGATGCTGTCATCATTTTCATTTTACAGACAAAGAAACGAGGCAATAGAGAGGTCATAAACTGAAGTTGCAGGCTCAGCATAAACTGAAGTTGCAGGCTCAATCCCAAGCCCCAGACAGGGTACATGCAGGAAGCAACCAATCGATTTGTCTGTGTCTCTCTCACATCGATGTTTCTCTCTCTCTGTCTCTCCCCATCCCTTTCACTCTCTCTAAAAATCAATGGAAAAATATCCTTGGGTGAAGATTAACAAAACAAACAAACAAAAAGAAATCTATCAAGGACAATACAAATGTTTCCAGATGAAGTTCTATGTTGTGCTGTAGGCAATAAAGAGCCACTGGAAGGTTTTTCCAGGGACCTAATCTAATCCGAGAACAGATCTTGGGATATCTGAAAAAGAGTATACTAACATCCCATCCCTTAGCTAATCTTTCCTAAATATCATTTTACTTATTAACTTTGGTGAGATCTCTGATTGTCTTTGAAAGGATCGTACTACCCCTTTGGGCTAGCTGCACATCTTACCCTCGAGTAGTTCGTGCCGTTACTATAAGTTGCAAGGCTTTGGCCTGCAGCCTCATATGATGTATAATCACCACCTGCTTATTCTCCACACCACTGTACATGAACTCCATTTTGTAGGTCTCTTCCATGATCTGTAAAGAAAAGGTAATTAATGATCAGTGAAATATCAAGTCTTGCACTAGCTGGTTTGGCTCCGTGGATAGAGCATCAGCCTGCAGAGTGAAGGGTTCCAGTTCAATTCAGATCAAGGGCATGTACCTTGTTTGCAAGCTCCTCCTTGGCTCGGGCCCTGGTAGGAGCTTGTGCAGGAGGCAACCAATCGATGTGTTTCTCTCACATCGATGTTTCTCTCTGTCTTTCCCTCTCTCTTCCACTCTCTCTAAAAATCAATGGAAAATTATCCTTGAGTGAGGATTAACACACACACACACACACACACACACACACACAAATCAAGTCTTCCTTGAGAACAGCATAGAATTGTAGGTGAAACTCTAAACTGAGGGGTTTTTTTATGCCTATATTTTAATTCTGAACTGACATTTTTAAGTGCCTATGTTGAGATAAATTAACATAATTGGAGAGAAATTAATGTGTTGAGAGAACTGTATAGCATGTCTTGCAAAAGAGAAAATAAATTATTTTGTCAACTGAAAAACAAAAGGCTCTGTTCTGGTAATAAAATAATCTTAATTGATGATGTGATAATATGAAAGTTTAATCACAGATAAAATTATAAAGCACTACTTGTTACCCTAAACCCAAACTCACTGTGCTGTGGGGAAAAATGAATATATGCTGTATATAAAAACCAAATTCCCAAGAAAAGCCCTCAAGAATTTAGCATCAAGAACCATGAACCACCTGTTAGTCATCCAGACAAACTGTCCTACAGGCATGGAGTTTGGGATAAGTGCAGAAAACAACATCTACAACTTCAGCTCAGGCCCAGTGCATCTTAAACTCTTGCTCCATTCTAGCCAAATCAGCTACTCCCACCCAAATGATGCTTCTCTTCCCCTTTGAAGGCTTTGGGGTCAGAGAAATGACTCCAGGCCGCCTATGACTAAAAGGAAGACAAGATGTTTAATTACATGGTACCTTAGTTACCCTATCTGTACATAGGGAAGAAATAGGACCAACATTAGAAAATGTAAAGGATTAAATGGGGCATGGAAAGACCTTAACACAGTATCTGGTACACACATTTGTAATTCCTTTCCCCTCTTTCTTCCAGATTCCTGCTCCCTGGTCCCCTCGTTCCCAACATGGTCCATTCTGGCACTCCAGTCATTAAGTTCTACTCCCCTACAATAAGCTGCATAGCAAGTTTGAGAGGGAGTCTAGGTCAGATGGGAAATTAAACAGAGTAGTGGAAAGAAAACAGACTCTGGGTGTCAGAGGGTCTGGGCTCAAGTCCCAGACTATATTACCTATAGTTCTATGAATTTAACCTTGCTATAAAATGAGCTTAATACTTATTCCTGCCTAATGGAATTATTGTGAGGTTTAATTAAAATAAACTTGAAATTGTTTAGTGAATTGTAATGTAGCTTTCTAATTGGTCAAAATCACTCAGTTATGTACAGTTCACTATCCAGAAGAGTTCACTAAATCCCAATACCTAATAATGAAGGGAAATTGCTCAAAGCTAGAAAGAAAGAAACTCAAAACAAATAAAATGAAATGCTACTTAATGAACTGAGGAGAAACATAAGAACCTTTTAACATTCAAGAGATGGTACAGGCTAAAAATATAAATAACCTGAAAATGAGTTCATCTTCATTTTCAGATAAAAGACTCATGATAGTTTTTATTGGATTTTAGTATATCTGAAATACTAACTTATGATATTTTAGAACACAAAAGAATCTTAGAAATATCTCATAGAATGGCCATATTTTACAGAGGAGAAAAAAACCAGGGGGGTTAAGTAACCTGGTCAATATCACCCAGAAAATTAGAGGCATACCTGGGTCTAGAACCCAGGTCCCTTGACTCTAAAACCAGTGCTGTGACCCCTAATTATGCTGCTTCTCCTATCACTAACTTCTGTCATTACAGGCTGAGACTGCAGAGACCACATCAGATCCGTGGAGCCAAGATGAAGTGTGAAAGTCTCTGGCTCTAACTTGAATAAGATAATTCCTGGACAGAGATCTATGGAGGAGAAGGTCTTAATTGCTTACCTGTTTTGCTGCTGCTGAGGCCAAATCGCTCTGCTTCAAATACAAAGGGGCGGCCACATTCCACAGCTTTTCCTGTAAGGCCTACACACAAATCAGGAGAGGAGAGAAGACAGAACACAGAGATCACAAAGACTGGCATATCATTTGAGACTGCCATGTTTATTTTGCTTTGAAAATCTATCATAATCAGGACTTCCTCTCAGTCTTGTTTTTCTTTTTTGTATTGATTTCTGAGGGGAAGGGAGAAGGGGAGAGAGAGATAGAAACATCAATGATGAAAGAGAATCATTGATCGGCTGCCTCTTGTCCCCTACTGGGGATCGACCCTGCAACCTGGGCATGTGCCCTGACTGGGAACCGAATCCTGACTTCCTGGTTCATAGGTCGACATTCAACCACTGAGCCACACTGGCCAGGCATTCCTCTCAGTCTTATTCCTTTAAGCCCACTTGGGTTGCGGGAAACGAGTTAAGTCGGCTCGCGTGAATTGCGCGTACTCCGCGGGAGCCGTCTTAAACTCGGTTCATATAGATTTGTGGTGGAGTGCGGGAAACGTGTAAACTCGGGCCGATTGTAACTGCGTATTACCAAATATTTCATTTCAATCGAACCCATACTTCAAAAGATATAGGCATTTTAACGCGCCATCTTATATTTTGGCGGGAAATTCACCCGACACCGTAGTGAGCCAATCAGCCCCACTTATGGACAGAGAGGAAACCAAAGGTTTGAGCTAACTGAATTCCTCCCTATTCAATCCAATTCCTAGCCCAAAGGCCATATGTCTTGGCCCAGTGCTTGCAAGCAGAGTACAGGAGCCATGAAGGTCTCACCAGAATGTCTAGGCAAGCCAGCTTCCGAGGCTCTGGGCCCTTCTTGTTCCCAGAGCCAATGTTCCCTGACTGGCTAAACCCTTCTTGTTTGACTGTGGTTCTTTTTTCTTTGCCCCACGCTCACTATTCTTTGAACAGCCCCATCACCTTACCGGCATAGCTTTCCTAGTTTACACCGTCTCTCAAGATTTCTATTCAAAACTAACATGTAAAGCCACAGATTTCACCTTCTATCTCTCTCCTCTTCTATCCATCCATATGGCCCACCTCTCACCTCTTGTCTAACCTCTGCTATAGTCTCTAATTTCCACAGTCCTTCTTAATTACAGACACAATCCAATGACATTACAAAAAACTTAGACTAACTGTCTAATGGAAACATATAACAAACCATGTAGGTAATTTTACATTTTTTAGTAGTCACATTTTTAAAAGTAAAAAGAAATAGGTAAAATTAATTTTAAAAATATAGTTTAGTTAATGCAGTATATCCAAGATAACACCATTTCACTATGCCATCAATCTTTTAAAAATTACTGAGATAGCTTACATGCTTTTTTCACACAAAGTCTAAGAAATCCAGAGTGAATTTTGCACTTACAGCACGTCTCAATTTGAACAAGCAACATTTCAAGTGCTCAAGAGTCACATGTACCTGGTGACCATCATATTAGATAGGTCTAGTAGACCATCGATACAGAAATCTTTAAATCACCCAACCCATACTATCTTATCAGAGGTATTGCTTTTGAATATTTGCTTCCAATCATTTCTCAAATGCATATTTTTATATAGTTGTAGTCAGAAAGCTGAAATAATTTTGTATCTTTTTTTGGTACATAACATTACGTATTTTGTGATGTTGTTACATAATTCTTCATGATGATCATTACTGACTACAGAATATACTGGGGAGTAGATGTGCCACAGCTGAGTTAGCTCATCCCCGATTACCAAACACCTGCCTGCTCTGGTTCTAAGTCTGGGTCCCTTACTTACCCTGCCACTCCATGACATTGAGTAAACAACATAGTTCTGTGTTCTTTTTAGGAGTAAACTCTTCTCATTTCTTACTATAGAAAAGTAGATTCTTTTCAAAGGCCTTCTTGTATTCCCATGGAGAAGATAACAAGCCACAGAAGGAGGAAAATGACCAACAATGACAAGGCACTCTCTACACACTAGACCCTAGGCTAAGAGCACTCACACTTATTGCTGGTTACCAGTCCTTACCTGGGTTGAGTTATTAGCCCTGTTTCACAGAAGCTTGGAAAAGCTATCAATTTTGCAAAGGGGCATAAGGAACATTTTTGGACAATGGAAATGTGCTATATATTGACTGTGGTAGTGGTTATGCAAGCATATATGATTGAAAGAATCTATCTTGCTCAACAAGGGCTGTTTAAATCCCAACCCACTTCAGTGTACACACACCCACATTCATATATATATATATATATATATATATATATATATATATATATATATATACACACACACACACACACACACACACAGACTTGCAAAACCCTAAGCTCACACATCTTACAATGGGAAATAAGAAACTTTTCCATTTGTTCTGACTTTAAATAAATATCATTAATCTCTTTAAAGACTAACATTTGGAACTGAAGCCAAGATAAAGGCTTATCAGGTAAGAAGGGCTCTCCTAAATCCTAAGTTTAAATTTACAGCAGAATTCTGCATTCTGCTGCAGAAGCTGAAAGCTACTGAACTCATTTAATTGGTTTCCAATTCTGCCAACTGAAACAGTTTCTTGAGTACAAATTTTGTGTGAATATATATAGTATATATACACGTATATATCATCTACCTTATATGAAATGCCAGCAAGTTGGCCTTTTTAAGAGCAATGAAATCAACCTCTGACTAATTTTACTTTGATGAAGTGAAATTATGAAAATAAAAGTTCATATAAGTTCTTTGCTAATCAAAGTATAAAAAAACAATGAAAATCCTTGGGATTCTAAAGAAAATGATTATGCACCTGATCTGCTCTAATTACATAATGATGAAAGAATGCTACCAAATTTTAAAAATTCAAATTTCTATTAGAGTTAACAATTATTTAATTAGAGCCAAATACAATTACACCACAGAATACATAATTCTCCATTGCTGTGGCTGCAGAAGGCCATATATTTTTCCAATTATGGCCTCAAACTCTGCCAGATCTGTTAAAGTGTATTCTTAGCATCACACTCAAAAGTACAATGAGTCCAAACCAGCGGTTCTCAACCTGTGGTTCGCGACCTCTTTGGCAGTCGAACAACCTTTTCACAGGGGTCGCCTAAGACCATCCTGCATATCAGATATTTACATTATGATTCATAACAGTAGCAACATTACAGTTATGAAGTAGCAATGGAAATAATTTTATGGTTGGGTCACAACATAAGGAACTGTATTTAAAGGGCCAGAAGGTTGAGAACCACTGGTCCAAACCAACCTTGATGAGAAGAAGTTGACACCGAAGATAGGCAGCCGAGAAGTCAGCTACTCCTGCCAATTCAGACTGAAGTTCTCCAAGTCTTTGCAGATCCCTATAGTAAACAAAACAACAGCCAAACATAGGACAAGGATAGTAACAGCAACATAAAAGTCACGTCAAAGCATTTTACCATTTTACACCTAGTAAACTGGTCATAAATTTTAAAACAGCAGCCAATGCTGGAGTGGTTATAATGAAGTGGTTCACTCACACTGGATAGTAGATTAAGCTGATATAATTCTTTGGAAAGTGAAATTGTACTCTGTTATAAAAGTCACACATATAGTCAAATATTTTGATCGGTAACTTTATGCTAAGAAGTAATTCTAAGGAAAATCTTCAATAGAAATGAAATGCTCCATGCCTCATAATACTCATTGTGTGATTATAGTAAAAATCCAGTAACCAGTTAAATATTCAATGGTAGAGGAATTTTAAACATTACTATATTTCCAGTCAATGAAATAAATACTCTATAACCATTAAAATATAAAATGGTAATAAAATATATGATCTCAACCATGTAAAAGCTATATATAGGCGGAAAATAGAGCAAAGTGGTTTTCTGGATAGAAGTATTCAGGTGCTTTTTAGTGCCTACTCCCAACTAGGCTTTATTTTCCAAGTGTTTTATACGATGGACAAGTATTTTTTGTATCACCGGGGAAAAAAAAATCTGTCTGTAGACAAGAAAAGAGAAAGTGACACACAGATAAAATAGTTGTATTGGGGGCTGAGATTACTAATTTAAAACTTTTAATTTTTAGAATAGATAATACATATCTAGCTATAGAATTATACTGGTAGAATATAGAATTCAAAAGATACTAAAGGAGATATACAATTAAATTAGCCACCTTCCTATACCTGTGCACTGCTAACAAGTACACCCTTTCCAGAGGAACCACTGTTACCAATTTCTTTTCAGTTCTTCTAGTAATATCCTATACATTTACAAAAAGTATTGTTTTTCTTTTCTTTCTTCTTCTCTTTTGGGGAGGGGTATGTGCGTGTGAGAAACAGACCCCTTACAATCCATCTCAGCAAGAATTCAAAAAATGCTACTTTATTTTTTAATGGCATTATCAAAATTTCATACAGAAATAATAACTGTTAGAAATGAAGATTTGGGTCATGAAGGAAGTTAACTGTTTCAGGGCTGGCATAATATATTACGATTCATAGTAGCCTGTACATCGGACTAAGCCCCTCCCTATAATCTCAGGCAATTTTCTGATAGCTAATGCTGCCTCCTAAGACCTTAAGACCAGGGATAAGATGCTCTGGAAAGGGGCACCAAGTAAATTCTTCCAAAAGTAACTGAGGAAATTGGGATCTGTAGCTTATATATCATCGTTTGTGAGTTCTGGTGGCTTGAGCTGATCCTGGAGAGCCTGCTCATTGTGGGAATCCAGCACAATAAAAGTCAAGACCCTGTACCAACTAATCATACTTGAAAAGTGCTATTTTAAAGGTGACCAACTGGTCTCTCCTTTTCCCATCTCTAATGTCTCTCTTACCAAAGACAGCCCTGAATCATTCTACTTTGGAACCATTTCCTCTCCATGAAGATTCTGCTTCCTGTTACAATTACAGAGAACACTGGCCAGCTGACTATACATTAGCCGACTGCCGCCATTGTTAAGTTCTTCTATGACCCTTGTACTGTAGCAACTGTTCTGAATTGCACAGAACAAGATGCAACCCAACTAGCTATGGGAAATCTGACCTACTGAACAAAGCAAAATGCTCTATGTCCCAGTGCTTCCTCTCTGGACCTCTTTATGCCCACAATCCTCAAGAACAAGTTTAGATATTGATCGGGAGACTAAGAACTCTATTGAAAATGGTTACAAAGAGCACCTCCTCTGTGCACTGTACTAGGAGTTTACTTATTTGAGCTCATGTAATCCTTACAATGTGAACTGCAATTTATCTCATTTCACTGAGAAGAAAAATGAAGGCCAGAGTTAAGTGGTTTGCCCGAGGTCGCAGAATTAGTAAGTGGCAAAAAACAGGCCATGAACTCGGGTCTAACTCTAAAAGTCTTTTTTTCAACCATATCATATTGCATTTCATTTATTTCTTGCCTATTAAAATATTTTCATATATTTATGAACTATATAAAATACAAATGAGACCAAAACTGATTTAAAATCAGATAAATAGTAAGCCACATTTCCAGAGGTGTGATGTGGCAGGACAAAAGAGCCCCTTCAAGAAACACACACTTTAGTAATCCTTAGTCCACATGATGGCAATAAGTATCATTTAAAAATATTAGAACACAAGTTAACAGATTGTGAAAAAAAAATTTTTTTAAGTTTATACAGAGGGATGGGGTGGGGTCCAAGATGGCAGTCGAGAAGGTAGAAGCTATACTCACTTTCTCCCAGGACCAAACTGAAAGCACAAATAAAATATACAACACTCAACCTTAATAATCAATTGAAGACGAGCTGTAGAGAAGTCTTATAACCACGGTTTTAGAGAAGAAGCCACAATGAGACTGGCAGAAACGACAGACGTGAAAAGGGCAGGTCCCGCTCCCATGGGCTGCAGCTGTGGTTCCAGAGGGATATCTCAGCTGCAAGGGGGTTTCTCTTGATAAATGTGGGATCTTAAGCCCAAATAAGGCTCCCCAGCCCAGAGGCCAGAGCCTGGGAGAGGCACCATATAACATCTGGCTGTGAAAAGCAGTGGGTTTCTGTCTGCCAGGGAGAGAGGGGAGTCCACTAGAAACTCAAGCAACCTCTTAAAGGGCCAACGCACAATATCTCCTTTGTAGCCACACTCCCTGGATTCCAGCAGAGGGATGGCCGAGCAGACTAGAGTCATGAGAGACTGGGTTTTATTCAACATTGTTCTGGAAGTCCTAGCCACGGCAATCAGACAAGAAGAAGAAATGAAAGGCAAACAAATTTAAAAAGAAAGAAAACTCATTATTTTCAGATGACATGATACTGTATATACAGAACCTAAAGATTCCACCAAACACACACACACACACACACACACACACACACACACACACCCCTACTAGAACTGATAAATGAATTCAGTAAAGTAGCAGGATACAAAATAAATACCCAGAAATCAGTATCACTTCTATATACTAATAATGAACTATCAGAAAGGGAAGCTAAGAAAATAATCCCATTTACAATTACATAAAAACAAACAAACCTTGGAATAAACTTAACCAAGGATGTAAAAGACCTGTACTTGGAAAATTATAAGACACTGAAGAAAGAAACTAGAGAAGAGATGAATATGTGGAACCATATACCATGTTCATGAATTAACATCATTAAAACGATCATATTACCCAAAGCAATCTAGAGATTCAACACAATTCCTATCCAAATAGAAACAAATATTCCAAAAATTTACATGGAACCATAAAAGACCCCAAACAGCCACAGCAATCTTGAGAAAGAAGACAATATTTGACAAAGGAGGCATGAAAATACAATGGGGTAAAGACAGTTTATTCAATAATTAGTGTTGGGAAAACTGTACAGATATGTGAAAAAAATGAAACTAGACTACCTTTTTACACCATATACAAGAACAAACTCAATATGAATTAAATAATTAAATGTTAGACTCAAAACCACAAAAATCCAGGCAGTAAAATCTCTAACATTTTGTGTAGCACCATTTTTTCTGATATGTCTCCTTGGGTAAGAAAAAATAAACAAACGGACTACATCAAACTAAAAAGGTTTTGCACAGCAAAGGAAGCCATCAACAAAATGAAAAGACCACCCAGTGAATGGAAGAACATATTTGCCAATAATAGAACTTATACAACTCTTGTTTTTGTGTGTGTGTGTGTGTTTTTGTTTGTTTTTTGTGTTTGTTTGTTTTTTGTTTTTGAGAAGAGGAAGGAAGAGAGTGAGAGAGATAGAAACATCAATGAGAGAGAAACACAGACCGGCCACCTCCCACATGTCCCTCACCAGGGATTGAGCCCACAACCCGGGCATAAAAACAAACAATCCAATGAAAAAACGGGCAAAGGATCTGAATAAACACTTTTCCAAAGAGGACACACAGATGGCCAATAGACATATGAAAAGTGCTCATTGTCACTAATCATCAGAAAAATGCAAATTAAAAGCACAATGAGATACTACCTCATACCTGTCAGAATGGCTTTCATGAATAAATCAACAAACAACAAGTGTTAGTAAGAATGTAGAGAAAGGAAAACCCTCATGTACTATTGGTGGGAATGCAGATTGGTGCAGCCACTGTGGAAAGCAGTATGGAGGGTCCTCAAAAAATTAAAAATGGAACTACCTTATGATCCAGTAATTCCATTTCTGGGGATTTATCTGAAGAAACCCAAAACAGTGATTCAAAAGAATATATGCACCTCTATGTTCATTGCATTATTTACAATACCCAAGATATGAAAGCAGCCCAAATGCCCACCAATAGATAAGTGGATAAAAAAGCTGTGGTACATCTACACAATGGAATACTACTCGGCCATAAAAAGAAGGAAATCTTGCCTTTGCAACAGCATGGATGGACTCGGAGAGTATTACACTAAGTGAAAGAAGCCAGTCAGAGAAAGTCAAGTACCACATAATTTCACTTATATGTGACATCTAATGAACAAAATTATCAAACAACCAAAAACCCCAAAATAGAAACTGGTTCATAGCTGTCAGAAGCAGGGGTGGAGGGAGTGGGCTGGGTAATAAAGGTAAAAGGATTAAGCAAAAAAACAACAACAACAAAAAAAACCACACCCTCATAGACGGACATCAACATGGTCATTACCAGAGGGAAAAGGGAGTGGGGGGAGGCAGGAGAGGGTAAAAGAGGGGGGTGGTGGGTAAATGGAATGGAAAGAGACATGACTTGGGATGGTGAACATAATACAATATACAGTTAGGTATTATAGAACTGTACACCTTAAACCTATATAGTTTTATTAATCAATGGAACCCCAATAAATTCAATTGAAAGGAAAAAACTTTAAAAAGTTCACACAAGCAGCAGAATTCATTCATTTTGAAATCACTGCTAAAAGATAGTAAAAAAGACTGGATGTGTAAATCAAATGTTTATGACTAAACATTTCTTTCAATCTCTAAATATCAAATTTACAATTAATATCTCTTAGTAGTTTGGTGGAATAACAACGAATGTTAGAAAATGCAAAATGAGTACAAAATGCTGATAATTTTTCAAAAGCTATCTTCATTCTTGCACTCAGATTACAAACTACAAACATTTCATTTTCACCTCTTTAATTACTGGACTAGTTTCCAGGCTACAAAACAGGCACTGTTTCTTAGAGACATGAAACAATGCACAGCAAAAGGATTTTAAAAATTTAATCAAGAAATCCCATGGGCCCTAACCGGTTTGGCTCAGTGGATAGAGCATCGGCCTGCGGACTCAAGGGTCCCAGGTTTGATTCCAGTCAAGGGCATGTACCTTGGTTGCGGGCACATCCCCAGTGGGGAGTGTGCAGGAGGCAGCTGATTGATGTTTCTCTCTCATCGATGTTTCTAACTCTCTATCCCTCTCCCTTCCTCTCTGTAAAAAATCAATAAAATATATTTTAAAAAAAAGAAATCCCATGGTTTTTAGGGTTGGTATTTCTTAAAAGTCTCCTAAGGAAAGAATGTATTTCTTTTCTTTTTATAAAAAATATTATTTTTGCCCTAGCCAGTTTGGCTCAGTGGATAGAGCGTCGGCCTGCAGACTCAAGGGTCCCAGGTTCGATTCCGGTCAAGGGCATGTACCTTGGTTGTGGGCACATCCCCAGTAGGGAGTGTGCAGGAGGCAGCTGATCGATGTTTCTCTCTCACCGGTGTTTCTAACTCTCTATCCCTCTCCCTTCCTCTCTGTAAAAAATCAATAAAATATATATATTTTTTAAAAAGAGTTAAAAATATATATATATTATTTTTCATCCTAGCCAGATTGGCTGAGTGGATAGAGCATTGACCCGCAGACTGAAGGGTCCTGGGGTTCGATTCTGGTCAAGGGCAAGTACCTCTTTTGCAGGCCCTATTCCCAGTTGGGGTGTGTGGGAGGCAACCAATAGATGTGTCTCACATTGGTGTTTCTCTCTCTCTGTCTCTCCCCTACCCTTCCACTCTAAAAATCAATGGAAAAATATCCTAGGGTGAAGATTAACAACAACAAAAAATTTTTTTATTATAGTTAACATACAATATTATATTAGTTTCAGTTGTACAACCCAGTGATCAGACATTATAGTGACCATCCTGATAAATCCCATACCCACCTGACACCATAGATAGTTACCACAAAATTATTGACTATATTCCCCACACTATACTTTACATCCCCATGACTATTAACAACCAACTTGTACTTCTAATCCCTTCACCATCTTCACTCATCCCCCAAACCTTCTCCTATCTGACAACCATCAAAATGTTCTTTGTATCTATGAATCTGTTTCTGTTCTGCTTATTCATTTATTATGTTTTTTAGATTCGATTATTGATAGATATGTATTTATTACCATTTTATTATTCATATGTTTATCTTTTTTTATTTACTCCTTAAAGAAGACCCTTAACATTTATGTAATACTGGTTTGGTGGTCATGTAACCAACACTGGAAATCAAAACAGTCAAGCAGAGCAGAACAACAATGTTAACTGTCAAAGGAAAGGGACGATTATCTCACCTGATGGTGAACTCTAGCAGCTCCTGGGTTCCCTGAGGGTCCAGGTGCTGAAGACTGTACACTCTTTCAAGGCTCTGCTGCAGGAACTGATGGGAAGGATCCTCATGAGGCGTGATATTGGGGGAAACAGCTGATGACACAAGTTTTCTACCTGATAACTAAGCAAACATAGTCAGGTTATAAACTTTTCGAAACAAAATAACCAGAAAAAAAGTGAGCCAAATAAAGGAAAAGGAACAAAAAGCTACGGAATTCTATAAATAACCTTTCTCCCCTTCCCCAGCTTCAGTGGGAGAAAGGGAAAGAGGAGAGGAAACGAAATAGCCACAAGCTGCAAGGAGAAAGAGAGAATAGTATATTATTATTTTCCATTACTAACTGAAATAAATGGGCTAACCATAGAAATAGGACTAAAAATTAATGTTCCCACATTTACTTTATTATTTATTTATTTATTTATTTATTTATTTATAATCACTCTCATTTTTATCAGAGCCAAATCAAGACCAAACTATTTTACTGCATTAAGTCCAACTTTAATTTGGCCTAATTAAAAATTTTTTTTTCTCATTTATTTATTGACTAGAGGTCCGATGCACAAAATTCATACAAGAGTAGGCCTTCCTTCTCCCAGCTGCCGGCACTGGCTTCCCTCCAGCACCCAGGACCCAGGCTTCCCACGCAGCCCCGGCTTCATCTGGAAGGTCATCCAGAAGGACGACTGGTCTAATTAGCATATTACATTTTTATTACTATAGATTTCAGAGAGAAACATCGGTTTGTTGTTCCACTTATTTATGCTTCGTTGGTTGATTTTTGTATGTGCCCTGACCAGGACCTGCGACCTTGGTGTATCGGTCTGATGCTCTAACCAACTGAGCCTGATATAACATAATCAATAACCTAAGAACATTTAAAAAAAGGTGAGAAGCAAAAGTACAAAACAATGGGATAGAGCTCATGAGAGAAAGAGCATGAATGAATCCTTTTTCAGAGACTATAGTCTGTTTTCTATTATTTAATAACCACAAAGGACCAAAAACTAAAAACAAGGACAAAAGATGTTTTTTCAACATACCCTCAAGGCAGGAACAAGATGAGAAAGACTGTCCCGGAGGTAGGCATAGTGCCTGAAGGTATGGTCCGAGAACAATGCTGGCATTGTTGGGCAGCTTTTAGCAGCATTGAAGATAAGAACCAAAACTGCAATGTCTGATGGATGAGTGAGTTAAGTAAGCCTGGAGGTACAAAAGGGTGAGTTTGGCCAGAATCTAGTGTCCCCACTTCCCGCCCCGAAATTCCCACTAAGTGACTACAATTTTCTAATACAGAAATGCAAATTCAAACAGAGACAGATTATCCTACTCCATATTGTCCCAATTACCAAAAGTTTTAAAAAATAATGCCTGTGGTGAGGGCCTGGGGGGCAGAAGGGGCAGGAGAGGGCTGGAAGAGGTTAGTGGGGTAAAAAGGACCTATGTAATACTTTCAACAATAAAGATTAAAAAAAATAAACAAGCAAACAATAAAAAATAAGAAATTGGCAAAAGAAGTGAAAAACTTCAAGATAGCAACCAAACAACCGAACGATCAGTCAACTGGTTATGACACGCACTGAACACTAGGGGGCAGACGCTCAACACAGGAGCTGCCCCCTGGTGGTCAGTGCGCTCCCACAACCAACTTTCCATGGCTGGCCAACCTCCCGCAGTCCCTCCCCCGGCCAGCCAACCTCCCTCAGTCGCTCCCCCTGGCCGGCCAGCCCTGATCGCAACCAAGCTGAGGGACCCCACCCATGCACGAATTCGTGCACCAGGCCAATAATAATAATAATAATAATAATAATAACAACAACAATAATAATAATGCCTGATGCTGTTGAGAATACTAATAAATGAAAACTTTTGGTACATTGGCTACTAAAGTATATAATGGCACAATCCCTTTGGATAATAATTTGGTACTAGATAGTAAGTGTCTTATGAATGTTGAATAATTCCACATCTTAAATCTATTCTAAGTAAATAATAAGATAGCACAGAAGCATTTATAATAGCAAATAATCAGAAATAACTTAAATATCCCAAACCAGGAGAATAACTATACAACTTATACTTCATTTACTTGATGGAGTTGCCAGCACATCCCCAGTAGGAGGTGTGCAGGAGGCGGCTGATCGATGTTTCTCTCTCATGGATGTTTCCGGCTCTCTATCCCTCTCCCTTCCTCTCTGTAAAGAAAAAAAAAATGTGTGTTGTTTTTTTAATATTTTTTAAATATATTTTTACTAGAGGCCTGGTGCACAGATTCATGCACTAGTCCCTTGGCCTAGCCTGCGGGGATCAGGCCGAAACCAGCTCTCCGACGTCCCCCCAGGGGTCCCGGATTGCAAGAGGGCTCAAATCAAATCCCTAAACTTCACCAATGGTCTTGCATAGAGTAAAAAGAACCATGGGAGAGCATGAATGCACTAATGTAAATGTATTCCCATGACTGGAAAATAATCCAATTGCACGGCATGCTGTCCATGGCAATCACAAATCTATTGAACTTGTATCAGAAGAATAGTAGCTCAGCTGCATCTACTCATTCAGGCTGCATATCAAATTAAACACGCAATAAGACACAGGGCAGTGATGGCGAACCTATGACACGCGAACTCATTTTTTTGGTTGATTTTTCTTTGTTAAATGGCATTTAAATATATACAATAAATATAAAAAATATAAGTCTTGTCCTAACTGGTTTGGCTCAGTGGATAGAGCGTCAGCCTGCGGACTCAAGGGTCCCAGGTTCTATTCCGGTCAAGGGCATGTACCTTGGTTGTGGGCACATCCCCAGTAGGGGGCGTGCAAGAGGCAGCTGATCGATGTTTCTAACTCTCTATCCCTCTCCCTTCCTCTCTGTAAAAAATCAATAAAATATATTTAAAAATATATATAAGTCTTTATTTTACTATGGTTGCAAATATCAAAAAAATTTCTATATGTGACATGGCACCAGAGTTAAGTTAGGGTTTTTCAAAATGCTGACACGCCAAGCTCAAAAGGTTCGCCATCACTGACATAGGGGAAAGTCCATAGGCTTTAAACCAAAGGTAGCTGACTGCGAATCCCGGATTTAATGCTTGGAGAGTTACTTAGCCTCTCTGAGCTTCAGTTTTCTCATCTGTAAGCTGGGAATAATACCTCCTTCCACGGTTGTTTGGAAGATCATTGATAACATGTATAAAGCATTTACATGGTATGTGGAATATAGCAGGTGTTTGATAAATGGTGTAAAAATTATTTGTATTAAATGGCAAAGGGCAATTACTGTGAAATCAAGAAAGCTGAGAATAACCTCCAGGCTAGGCTACCTCAGGATATACTCTTATCTAAAAGAAATGAAAAAAAAATAAAACTCAGACCACCTAAGCTACACTACAGGAAAAGATGCTAGAATTCCCTGCCAAGTCAGCAGGGTCTGTCCTAAGCACAGAGGATACATGCTGGATCATCCATGTCTGGTTCAGCTGTGTCAAAAAACGGGTGGGTGCTCAGGAGCTCTGGAACCAAGGGAAGCACCAGGGTTGGATGTCGACTTCCCAGAAACTTCAGGCATCTGAAATAAACAAAATGAGAGCCCACATTAGTAAGTTAATAAATGCTTTTCAAAGTACTAGGATTTCGAATCAGAAAGCCTGATTCAGAATTAAAAATTCTCAACCACCTAGTTTTGCTCCTTCTATGACTTCAGACAAGTCATTCAATTATTCTAAAACTCAGTTAATTTGTCTAAAAATTTGGTTATTATGAAGACAAAAGAGCTGATATAGCTGCTATTACTACTGGTTACTTAACAACCATTTCCCCCATCTTCCTTGCCAAGAGAACCCTGATTTTACTCAGGTATAAGGTAGATAGCAAAGTGCTCAGAGAAGGCAGGCCCAGCCCAAGGGCTCAACCACAATTGGTCTAATAAACCCATCATAGCAACCCCATCCATATTTTCCAGTGACTGGTTTGCAAGTAACCAACTAATCCAGTTCTGGTGAATGGAAGTCTGCTGGAGAGCTTCTTAGGTATCCTATATAATAAAAGCCCAATATGCTGTGTCCAACCCTTCGTTCGACCACTCAACCAGTTGCTATGACATGCACTGACCACCAGGGGGCAGACGCTCCAACCGGCAGATTAGCTTGCTGCTGGGGTCCAGCTGATTGGGACTGGGCGAGACCAGCTGGACACACCCTGGAGCCCTCCCGCGGTCCCTCCCCAGCCCCAATCGTGCACCAGTGGGGTCCCACAGCCTGGCCTGTGCCCTCTCACAATCCGGGACCCCTCAAAGGATGTCAGAGAGCCAGTTTCAGCCTGATCCCCAGAGTACAGGTGGAGGCACCGCACTGGTACACGAATCCGTGCACCAGGACTCTGGTCTGTCATAAAATAAGAAATCAATTGGCTATTAATTAGCTATTAATTGGCTATCAGTTAACTATTATGACTACATTAAGGTCCTTTATAAACTATCAAGAACTACAAGTGTGGCCTAGTAGTTGAGTGTCAACTCATGAACCAAGAGGTCGCTGGTTCGATTCCCAGTCAGGGCACATGCCTGGGTTGCTGGCTCCCTCCCCAGTGTGGGGCATGCAGGAGGCAGCTGATTGATGTTTCTATCTTTCTATCCCTCTCCTTCTTCTCTAAAAATCAGTAAGAACATATTAAAAAAAATTTTTTTTAAAGAACTACATGTGTGCTGGAAATTATGCATTTTTATTATTTTTTATTTGTTAAGTCTGGTTTAAAAAGTGTAATGAATTGAAAAATAAATCAAAGGTAGAAGAAATTACTATGATAAGAGAAAGTATCACAAAGAAAATGGATTTCACCAGGGACTGGAGAATAGGCAGACTGGCAAAAGAAAGAAAACAAACACCATTAACAAATTCGTGGATATATGGGATACGAAAGGCATCACATTTAAAACACTTGACACTGTTAGTAAACTTTTCCCTAGTCCTGTTTTTCCTTCTATGTGGAAACAACGCACTTCACTGATTTTCTGACCTCTCTCAGGGCTTTTACTCGCTATGCCTAAGGGGACTTTGTAAAGGTTGTAGTTTGGCTTCCAGGTACCACTCTTTTATTTTATCTCTTTCTATTCAGATCCCAGGTGGAGAATACAAGAGTTATTAATTGGGTCCCCTCAGAGACCCTTAAGTGTCTGGGCCTCTCTAGACTTCAAGTCTGACTTGTAATATGTTTTACTACCTCATCCACCTCCCTATCTACACATTTCTTTCTTCTCTCCCTACTTGCTATTTTGAAGGCTAGGTTTCTGAGATGAATCCAATTTTGTTTTTTTTGTTGTTGTTGTTAATCTTCACCCGAGGATATTTTTCCATTGATTTTTAGGGAGAGTGGGAGAGAGAGGTAAAGACAGAAACATCGATGTGAGAGAAACACATCAACTGGTTGCCTCCTGCACATGCCCGACCAGGAGCCAGGCTAGGGAGGAGCCTGCAACCAAGGTACATGCCTTTGACGGGAATTGAACCCGGGAACCTTCAGTCCGCAGGCTGACACTTTATCCCCTGAGCCAAACTGGCTAGGGCTGAGATGAATCCGTTTTTAAATCTCCACAGCACCTAACACAGTGACTGGGTTATAACATGTGTTCAATAAGCATTTTTTATGAATACCCTAAAGGTATATAAACACAACAAACATATAATTCAAAACTTTCATTTATGTACCCATCTTTAGCAGTGTCTTAAAAACATGCCACTGTGACTATCCCTTCACTCTTTTATCACATTCTTTTTTGATATTTTAAATAAACCACTGTAACCTTGACTTAACATTTCAGTTAAGAAATAAAGGCTGTGTATTTTACCTTTTCTCAAGGCTGCAGCCACCCCTCTGTTTTCTTGAAGTGTGTAAATAAAGCCCTGTGTTTTAATTCTTTATCTACCCTTTTTTACAGCTTAAAGAAGTTCCAGGGGAGAAAGGGCTGCTTGGCACCAGCCATGAAGATCCACAGGTGTCCACAGTAAATCTACAAATTCTTGTTTGAAGAAAGTTCCAAAATGAGGAGAGGAAGCTTGAGAAGTGACATATTCCCAGTCCCTCAGCCCTTCTCCCTTTCCAATGACCCCCCTTCTCAGAGCTGCGCTTCCCATTCCCCTCCCCGATCTCTGTTACACTTTCCATCTCCATCTTTACAAAAGCCTCTGCCTGCATTGAGATTATTAAGGTGGCTTTTTGAGGACTGGAAAAGTCCCCCATCTTCTCGAGATGCCGGCATTCAAATAAACATCTTTCCTTTTTCACCAGCACCTGTCTCAAGAGTTTGTCTTTCGTTGTGGCAGACAGAGGAACCTGGGTTTGCTTGCATCACCATTCATGAGGAAAGATGAAAAAAAATCAAGTGATAATTAGGTCACTCCAAAATCTTTTGGAGCACTTTAAGGTGAAGGAGTTTTCTGTCTACAAATATCAATAAAGACAGTCTTGCCATAAATATTCTGGGTGAACCAAATAACCACAAATCTTATTTTAAGGCAAGAAGAATAAACTGCTAAACACTATATAACAATCCCTTCCATCAAGCAGAATGAATTCCTACTGTGTCCCCAAAAAAGTACAGATACTGACATAGGTATTTCTCCCTACCCCAACCCCACACACCAAATGATGAGTGCTCCTTGAAGACAATCAACATATGTATATCGAATTGAGCTGAACTGGACTGAACAAACATGAAGAAACAGCAAAACAAATAACCAGATATCAAAAATATTACCTAGCTCTCACTGGTTTGGCTCAGTGGATAGAGTGTCAACCTTGCAGACTAAAGGGTCCTGGGTTCAATTATGGTCAAGGGCATATATCTCGGTTGCAGGTTCAATCCCTGGCCCTGATCAGGGCACGTGCAGGAGACAACCAGTCGATGTGTCTCACATCAATGTTTGTCTATCTCTCTCCTACTGCTTTCCATTTTCTTTAAAAAATCAATGGAAAAATATCCTTGGGTGAGGATTTTAAAAAAAAGTGTTATCTAGAACAAGAACTCTCTGGTATTTTTTTTTAATATATATTTTTTATTGATTTCAGAGAGGAAAGGAGAAGGGAAGAGAGAGATAGAAACATCAATGATGAAAGAGAATCACTGATCAGCTGCCTCCTGCACACCCCCTACTGGGGACCGAGCCCCTACCCAGGCATGTGCCCTGACCAGGAATCAAACTGTGACCTCGTGGTTCATAGGTTGACACTCAACCACTGAGCCACACTCACTCGCCAGGCTGGTTTTCCTTTTTTTTTTTTAAATATATTTTTACTGATTTCAGAGTGGAAGGAAGAGGGAGAGATAGAAACATCCATGATGAGAGAGAATCATGGATCAGCTGCCTCCTGCAAGTCCCCCACTGGGGACCAAGCCCACAACCCGGACATGTGCCCTTGACTGGAATCGAACCTGGGACCTTTCAGTTCACAGGACAACGCTCTATCCACTGAGCCAAACTGGCTAGGGCAGTATTTTCAATTTTTAATGTATCTTTTATTCTTGGAAGAATGAAACCATTCTCTCAAGTACCTGATTCGACCATTTTCTACTCTTAGTAATAAATTTTTCTGGAAATCAAGAAACTACACAGTTGGCATGATCTCATCACATAAGCTCATTTAAATATGTGGAGCACACACTTTTTTTTGTTGTTGGTAATCCTCACCCAAGGATATTTTTTCCATTGATTTTTAGAGAGAGTGGAAGGGAAGCACACTCATTTAATTTTTATATTAAATGTAAGCAAGTAGTTCTTCAAACAGCAATTCATGAACAGTGTTAACAGTTTGATTCTAGTCAATAAAGCTAGAGGTAATCAAGGGGAGAAATGACTGAGATTTTCAATCTGCAGACCAAGTGCCGGCCCTGCCTCTAATCTTTACAATGATAGTTGTGATCCTGTACAAAATCTAAACTGGACAAAGCAGTGATTAACACTACACAGGAGAAAAAGGAAATCTAATTAGCTCACCTCTGTACTTCCAACACTTATCACAGAGTTTGGCACATAGGAAGCACATAGCAGGCATATATTTGCTAGGTGGATGGATGGACAAATGAATAAATAATCTAAAATAAAATATTCCATTTAGGAATCAGACTCCCGAGAGTTTAGTTAAGTTGAATCAGGTTTGTAAATTTAAGGCAAAATGGATAGCCATATCCTCAATCTATGATGATCCAATCTTATACAGTGGGGCCTTGACTTACGAGTATCCTGACTAACGAGTTTTTTGAGATACCAGCTGTCTCTCAGCCGATTTTTTGCATTGAGTTGATAGAGTAATTTGAGTTAACGAACTCCTTAATGAGCTCCTTAACAAGTTCGGTCTCGGAATGAATTAAACTCGTAAGTTAAGGCCCCACTGTATAATAAAAGCTTAATATGCAAATTGTCCCCTTGACCAGGAGTTCAACCGGGAGTTTGACCAGGGGGCGAGGCTGGCTGGCCAACCACAGGAAGGGAGGCCCTGGCTGGTGGCGGCAGGCAGTTGGGGGAAGGGAGGCCCAGGCAGCCAGGGGAAGTGAGGTCCTGGCCGACAGCCACTAGGGACCCTATCCGTGCACAAATTTCATGCACGGGGCCTCTAGTGAATAATATCAAGACTGTATATCTACCACGTTATTTGACTCAGTGAGCAAATGCACAAAAAATTCCTTACTTCCATATGGAATCCCTATCAGTAGGGTACTTGGTTAAATTTTTCAGCAGCTCCACCAGTGCAAGATGAATCCCTTCTTTGGTTGAAACATTAGCACAGCATAAGAGTTCATGAAGAGCCTCCCTAATATCCCTGGATGAATCCTTTAAAAAAAAGACAGTATTACTATTAGCAGTCACTATGAATTAGGTGTTATGGAGAAGTGTATAAGTTACAATGACAGTACAGGACAGGGAGAGGCTGGTAGTTGAGAAGACAGAAGTGACATATGAACTGAGATTTGAAGAATTAATTCATTTGTTTATTCATTTGTTTATACATTCTACATTTACTGAGCACTTAGTAAACAGCCAAACATTTATCAAGCTCCTACTAAGTACCAAAAGCTGGAGATACAGCAGTAATTATAATCAAATCCCTGCTCTCCGGAGCTTCATTCTAATGCAAAGGCAATATACATAGGCCAGATAGTGTTAAGTATTACGAAGAAACTATAAAGCAGGTTAAGGGAAAGAGTGCTGGGTTAGGTGGGGCATTTAACACCAGATAATCAAAGGGAACAGCACACATAAAGGCCATGAGGTGGAAACATGTTTGAAAAATAGCAAGGAAACCAGTGTAGCTAGTGCAGAGTAAACAGAGAGAGCAGACAAGATGACGTCAGGGAAGTGGCCTCTTTCCTCCCCATTTCCTACTCAATCTCACTAAAATGATTAAAAAAGGTCACCAACAGCCTGGTCGGTGTGACACAGTGGTTGAGCACTGACCTGTGAACCAAGAGGTCACAGTTCAATACCTGGTCAGGATACATGCCTGGGTTGTGGGCTTGACCCCCCAGTGTGGGGCGTGCAGGAGGCAGCCAATCGATGATTCTCTCTCATCACTGATGTTTCTCTCTCTCGCTCCCTCTCCCTTCCTCTCTGAAATCAATAAGTATTTATTTAAGAAAAAAGAATTTAAAAGCTGGAAACATACTGATAAATATCACAGGGTGTTATAAAAATACAGAGAAGTGCTATTTAGCCCATGTGGGAGGTGGGGGGTTAGTCAGAGAAGGCTTTCCAGATATGTTGCCTAACGTAGGTCCTGGGAATAAGCTCGTCTGTCAGGTGAAAAGTGGCAGTTTTGTAGGCAGAGGGGGGAAAATTACAGTGAAGGCAAAATAGTGAAGAGAAGCATGATGATTAGTGGAGTGACTACTGCATAAAGTTCAAGGTGAGAAATGATGGGGAAAAAGCTGAAAGAAAAGGAGGAGCACATTATAGAGACTATCCATGGAGAACAATCTACAGAATATAAATTTATCTTCTTAGGAAAAAAACTACGAAAAATTATAAATAAAGATAACTCAGGAAAAATCTTAATAGAAGTACTAAAAAACTGAGAGAATAATAGAGAATAGAGAATTTCAAAATCAAAGCATCCAGTCAGTCTGTTTATGTAGCAGAAGTCTGTAACAAGTGCTAATGACTAAATATCAAATTATTATCCCTTTCACAATATCTGAAAAAAAAAGAAAGAAAGAAAGCCAGAGGCCAAATTAAATTTACTAATATCTTGAAAAACTTCAGTACTTACAAATAAAATCCAGATACTTTACAAAAATAATCCAAGAACCATGCCTGGGAGGCAAATCTGTGTTTATATCCTGGCATAGCCAAGCACTAGCTATGTGACATCAAACAAATTACCTTTTTTCCTGTAAAACTCCAGGGCTCAATAAACTGACCCCTAAGATCCCTTCCTGATGTAATATCCTATGACTCACTAGAAGAATTAAATCAAAGGCTGAGAATAATTCTTCATTATTTAGTCCCTGCCTTATCTATAGCCGCTTCCCTCCTCTCCTCCATCTCTTCAACTCTATGCTGCAATTACAATGAATTCATTGACTATATCATACCCACTCTTACCTCTGGATCTTTAGACATTACTCCTTCTGTTTGGTACTCTTGTACTCTTCCACCAGTGCTACTCCTTCCTTAGAAAATGCCTCATTAAGTTCTATTCCTCCTTCAAGTGTCCACTACATTCCTTCTTTCTTCCCTAGCTTCCCAACCTTACCTTAGACAATTCAGGTTAGATACTCTCTGTATTCCCAGGGAGCCCTGTCCTTTCCTGATCACAACAACACTAAGCTTTGTTCGAATTTCCTGTTTAACATCAGTCTCCTCCATCTTGGTGGAGTTGTGTGATGAGAAGGCAGAACTGTGCTACCTGTACTTTATCATATCACCAAAACCCAGCAGAATGCCTGGTTAAAAATAAACAAGAAGTGGTGCCCCATAAGTACTGATGAAGAAATGAGTAATAAACTGTGACCGCTCACCTCTAATACACCCAGGATAGTGTCTAGCTGATCCTCTCGGAGGGTGATATTGTTGGAGATTTTTCTCATGGTATGTATGGACTGTAGACGAACTTCCTCAATTTCATCATTAAACATGTCAACCAGGAAATCAAGGCACTTCTCAGCAAAAGAGGATGAAGACTGAGCCAGCATGCAGAGAGCCTCCACAGCAGCAATGCGGACCTCTAGACAAAGAGACAAATACAACTGCGTATCAAATTAAGAGCCATGGGAAAAAATCCAAGGATTCCTTCTCATTCAGTTCTGCCTTTTGCTTTCTACTCCTCTCACCCTAAAAACTCTGGGAGATCTCCATGCTCACAGGTTCAGCTTCCACCTTCACTTCAACCTAAAGGCATGAATGTTGGTGTCACAGGGACTAAGGTTTAGATCTCGACTGTGCAGACTTGTGATCGAGTTACACATCTGTCTCCATTAACTGAACTTCTTGAAAACTAAGTTTTTATTTATCTCAGTATTTCAACTACAGTAAAGTTTTGTGTTTTTTTTTAAAAAGGCAGCCAAAATAATATTTTATTAAAACATGTTAGATACCATTATTCTCATTTTAGAGATAAGATTCAACAAAGGGCATTAACTTGCCTCAAAGTCAGAGGAGAGATAAGACTAGTACCCAGGTCTGTTGTTATATAGACTAGCATTATATAGTGGCTAAAGGTAGATGCTCTGGAATGATAGGGATCACACAGTGAACTGTGAAGAATAATCCCTCCATAAACTTGGAGGTGAACTTTAGCACCTCAATTTTCTCACCTGTTCAATGGAGATAATACTCATTTCCTTACAGAGCAGTTAGAATGACTGAATGACATGATGTAAGTAAAGCAGATAACACACCTCCTGGCATATGTTAAAAGCTCAACATTAGCTATCGCCAGGTCTTGTAAGCACCTTGAAAATAGAGCCATGTCTTCTACTCTTGGAATGCTCAGAACATGTAACAGTGAGGTTACTGAGTCTAGGAAGCCCTTCGTTCCTTCACTAACAATGTCTCCTGAACATGTAAGACATGCCAGGCTCTGTGCTAAGTGCCGGGATACAGAGATGAGGAAGCTACAGACAATGCTCACTAGACTTTTATAGATGCTCATTTTGTTGCAGTGGTTCCCCCATGGCTCTACAACACAATGTACAGTTTCAAAAAAGAAAAGAAAACCACTCAAATTGTGGTTAAAACTCACAAATATAAGTTGTTTTTGTGTAAGAAATGTTTCTAGACACTTTAAAAGCAGAGTTAATACACTGATGGGAGATGACTCAGATTTTTCTTGGTAGTTATGAATTCCTCCTTCTAATGAGAAGAGAAGAATTTGCTCCACTTCACAAAAAATGTAATTTAAATGTGAAATTGCTAATTACAAAGAAAGCCAGAAATGGACCTGAATATGTTAATTGCTGGCTTTTCTTCCCAGGGCTTTATCTATTATACCACATTGATTCATGTGTAACTCTTGCAACTCTATCAGAGGAATCACACAGAAACTCCTATCAGCATGAGACCAGAGATGATAAAATTCCAAGCAAAAACTTGGAAACATAAAGTAAAAACTTGGTGTTTTACTTTGCATGTACTGCCTGGCTACAGGCAGGTAAATAACAATTTCTACTGAACTTTTTGGAGTGCTGAAAGTATATTACAGTCTCCTTAAGGATCCAGGGCAGAGAAAAGGAATTTGCTATGTTGGGGCGTGGAGGGGGGAACTGTTTCACCCAGCCAGAGTGGCTCAGATGGTTAAGCATCCTCCCATGCACCAAAAGGTTGCTGGTTCGAGCCCATTGGGAATGTGCCAAAGGCAACCGATCAATGTTTCTCTCTCAAATCGATCTCTCTCTCTCTCTCTCTCTCTCTCTCTCTCTCCCCCCCCCTCCCTCCCTTCCTCCTTCTAGGTATGTCCTCTGATGAGGATCTATATAAAAAAAAAAGGTACACTTTGTGAAGACTAAATGAGACATTGTGTGCATATCAATCAATACGATGACTTACACATAGCAGTCACTCAGTAAATGAGCACTGTTATTATGTAGTCACTAGAGGCCCGGTGCATGAAATTTGTGCACTGGGAAGGGGTGTCCCTCAGCCCGGGTTGCGCCCTCTCGTAGTCTGGTACCCTTGGGGAATGTCT